ATGGTATTAGGAGAGGTAGGATCTTTTTTCTTTTTTTTTTTTTTGAGACGGAGTTTCGCTCTTGTTACCCAGGCTGGAGTGCAATGGCGCGATCTCAGCTCACCGCAACCTCCGCATCCTGGGTTCAGGCAATTCTCCTGCCTCAGCCTCCTGAGTAGCTGGGATTACAGGCACGCGCCACCATGCCCAGCTAATTGTTTGTATTTTTAGTAGAGACGGGGTTTCACCATGTTGACCAGGATGGTCTCGATCTCTTGACCTCATGATCCACCCGCCTCGGCCTCCCAAAGTACTGGGATTACAGGCGTGAGCCACCGCACCTGGCGAGAGGTAGGATCTTTAGAAGGTAATTAAGTCATGAGGGTAGGGTCCTCATGAATGGGATTGTGTCCTTACAAAAGGAACCCCAGAGAGCTTTCTGTCTTTGCATCATGTGAGATAAAATGAGAAGAAAGCAGCCTGCAACCTGCAAGACAGCCCTCACCAGAACCTGATCATGCTGGCACCCTGATTTATTTCCCACAGCCTCTAGAATTATAAGAAATAAACTTCCATTGTTTATAAGCCATCCAGTCCACGGTAGTGTTATAGCAGTGTATTAGTCTGCTCTCATGCTGCTAATAAAGACCTACCCAAGACTGGGTAGTTTATAAAGAAAAAGAGGCTTAATGGACTCACAGCTCCACACGGCTGGGGAGGCCTCACAATCACGGCAGAAGGCGAAGGAGGAGCAAAGGCACGTCTTACATGGCAGCAGGCAAGAGAGAGCAAGTGCAGGGGAACTCCCATTTATAAAACCATCAGATATTGTGAGACATATTCATTGTCATGAGAACAGCATGAGGGAAATAACCCTCACAATTCAATTATCTCTACCAGGCCCCACCTTTGACATGTGGGGATTATTACAATTCAAGGTAAAATTTGGGTGGGTATAGAGCCAAACCATATCATTCCACTCCTGGCCCCTCCCAAATCTCATGCCCTCGTGTTTCAAAACCAACCATGACTTCCCAACAGTTCCTCAAAGTCTTAACGCATTTCAGCATTAACTCAAAAGTCCACAGTCCAAAGTCTCATCTGAGACAAGGCAAGTCCCTTCACCTATGAGCTTGTAAAATCAAAAGCAAAGTAGTTACTTCCTAAATACAACAGTGGTACAGGCACTGGGTAAACACATGCCCATTCCAATTGGGAGCGATTGGCCAAAATGAAGGGGTGCAGTGGCTCACGCCTGTAATCCTAGTACTTCAGGAGCCCTAGGCAGAAGAGTCACTTGAGCTCAAGAGTTCAAGAGCAACCTGGGCAATATAGTGAGACCTCATCTCTACAAAAAACTTTTTTTTTTTTTTTTTGAGACGGAGTTTCGCTCTTGTTACCCAGGCTGGAGTGCAATGGCGCGATCTCGGCTCACCGCAACCTCCGCCTCCTGGGTTTAAGCAATTCTCCTGCCTCAGTCTCCTGAGTAGCTGGGATTACAGGCACGTGCCACCATGCCCAGCTAATTTTTTGTATTTTTAGTAGAGATGGGGTTTCACCATGTTGACCGGGATGGTCTCGATCTCTTGACCTTGTGATCCACCCGCCTCGGCCTCCCAAACTGCTGGGATTACAGGCTTGAGCCACCGCGCCCGGCCTCAAAAAACTTTTTAAAAATAAAAAAATTAGCCAGGTATGGTAGCGCATGCCTGTGGTCCCACCTACTCAGGAGGCTGAGGCGGGAAGATTGCTTAAACCCAGGAGGTCAAGGCTGCAATGAACTATGATTGTGCCACTGGCCTCTTGCCTGGGTGACAAAGTGAGACCCTGTTTCAATAAATAAATAAGCACCACTTTTTAGAGGAAAAGCTTCTCAAGTCTTCTTCAGATTTAAGGTCTTTCATTTCATCAGGGCACTCTGGACGGGTAGTTTTAAGGGAAGGGCCTTTCTGACTCAGCCTGGGTGTCCCAAAGACTTCAGCACCAGAAAGAGTCACTTTTCAGTCTAGCCAGTGCCAGCTACCTGTCTGAAACAGCATCTAACTGCCCAGAAGCCACCCTGACCCTCTCTAGAACATGCCTGCCCATAAAACTAGTAGAGTTTGAACCAACAGTTACTTTTCCTCAAGTGAGATCCAATTCCCTGAATGCTTCAGGGACAGGACTGGGTGGCAGCCAGAGTCCCACCTGACCTTCTCTTCTCCTGCCTAGATCTCTTGGCTTTTCTATCTATTCAGATTCCTTGCCTGAACTTTTGATACAATGATTGGAGTGACCCTCGGTATCTAACATCAAGACACTTACCAAGTTTTCTCTTGAAACTGCATCTCCAACTCATTTCCACCAGACTGGATTCTCTATGCTTGAGAAAACAAGAACTGCATAGGACAAGTCACCTGCTGCTTGGGACATGACCTCCCTGGGCCTCGCCTCTGTCCCTGCTAGTGCCACACTTCTTGTTTCCTTCACACTTGGGCTCCTTCCTGTTTTTCTAGTTGTGTTCCCTAATATCCCATTTGGGAATGATTTTGTTAACGAGGAGTTAAGGATCACCTCTCCCCCTGGCCTGCTAAATGCAACTGAAATTGGAAACAACCCAAACTCAGCTAAGTTGCAGATGCCAATCATCAAAAACACAACTTATAGATTCCATCCATTTTTAGCAATTTCCTCAGAAGACATAATTTTTTTCTTTTCTTTTTTGTTTTTGTTTTGTTTTGTTTTGTTTTTGAGACGGAGTTTCACTCTTATTGCCCAGGCTCACTGCAACCTCCTAGGTTCAAGCAATTCTCCTGCCTCAGCCTCCTAAGTAACTGGGATTACAGGCATGCACTACCATGCCCGGTTAATTTTGTATTTTCAGTAGAGACAGTATTTCTCCATATTGGTCAGGCTGGTTGCGAACTCCTGACCTCAGGCGATCAAAGTGCCACCTCCGCCTCCCAAAGTGCTGGGATTACAGGCATGAGCCATCGTACCTGGCCTGACAATTACTTTCAAATTGATCTTTCCTTGTTTTTAATTCCATTCTATAGCTAATACAGGTATTCAGTTACATAAAAAATTCAGTCTCTTAAAATTAAAAAAGGGAATCAAATAAATCATGCTCCATCTTGCCTGAAAAATCAAGTCCTACCTATATTCATAAAATTCTCACAAAGTATGAATTATAAGCTATAAAAAGCTATAAAATATATTGCACACATCTTTGTGATGTAAGTACACAGTGAAATCTGCTAATCAGTGATGCTTCAAGTGAGGAGATTTAACTGGCTTTCCAAGATATTCTATTAGGATTAAAAGAAAGAAAGAAAGCAGGTATTAAATCAAAGTGAAGTGATTATATTCATCTATGTTAAGGAGTTTACCTAGACCACAGTGATCCCCTCAATAATACAATGATGAAGGATTCTAGTATCCTGCAGCTGAAAATGTAGAGTTCAGTTATATTATTGTTATACACATTCCTTTTCATCACCTCATAGAAGCAAACCCAATACAAGCTAGTTGAGCACAAGATACAGTGTTCTTAAAGTCCGATCCTTGAAACAGTTACATCAGCATCATTTGGAAAATTGATAGAAACAAAAATTCTCAGATCTGTCCCAGACATACTGAATCAAAAATCCAGGGAAGGGCAGGTGCGGGGGCTCACACCTGTAACCCAGCACATTGGGAGACCAAGGCAGGAGAATCACTTGAGGCCAAGAGTTTGAGACTAGCCTGGGCAACAACTTAAGAAGACCCCATCTCTTCAAAAAATAAAAATAAAAAATTACCCAGGCATGGTGGTATGCCCCTGCAGTCCTAGCTACTCAGAAGGCTGAGGTAGGAGAATCGCTTGAGCCCAGGAGTTCAAGGTTATAGTGAGCTATGAAAGTGCCATTGCACTCCAGCATGGGCAACAGGGCAAGACCCTATCTCAAAAAAAGAAAAAAAAAAAAAATCTGGGTGGGGGGGTGCTCACTCAGCAATCTACATTTTAATAAGCCTTCGACATAATTCTGATGCATGGTCTAGTTTGACAACCACCACTTGAATTCATCTTCCTTTTTTTTTTTTTTTTTTTTGAGACGGAGTTTCGCTGTTGTTACCCAGGCTGGAGTGCAATGGCACAATCTTGGCTCACCGCAACCTCCGCCTCCTGGGTTCAAGCAATTCTCCTGCCTCAGCCTCCCGAGCAGCTGGGATTACAGGCACGCACCACCATGCCCGGCTAATTTTTGTATTTTTAGTAGAGACGGGGTTTCACCTTGCTGACCAAGATGGTCTCGATCTCTTGACCTCGTGATCCACCCGCCTCGGCCTCCCAAAGTGCTGGGATTACAGGCGTGAGCCACCGCGCCCGGCAAATTCATCTTCCTTTAACACAGAGAACTATCAGGTGTCCCTCCTCATGTGTGAACCCGTGTTGGTGTCTCCCCGGAGCTGGGCTTGTCCCATTAGCCCATTGTGGGAATGAGATGTCATTCTTTACATCTTCTAATCAGGATCCATAATGGAGACTGCTAAGTGTTCCCCAGGGTCTATTCTATTCCTCTTCCTACCATTACAGTCACTGGCCGCCCCTACACGCTGTCACAACTTTTAATACGCTTATTAATCTTTAAGACAACTTTTTAAAATACGCAAACGACGCTGACGCCTGATTTTGTAAACAAAGTTTCACTGGAGGTTCCAGCAAGCATCTGACCACTCAAAAACCAGACTCCAGCATCCGCCATTCCAAGTGGCACTGTGGGTGTCCGTCGCTAGAAGCAATTCCGCCACCCCAGTTTAAAAAAAAAAAAAAAAAAGACTGGGAGACGAAGAAAGAAAAGGTGGTTTCGCCGCAGGCTGCCAGGGGCGTCAGAGACGCTGGAAAGCAGGGACAGAAAGAAGCTTGCGGTGGCCCCCGCCGGCCCCCCGCACCACATTCCACACAGCTAACCGGGTCCTGCCGCTTTAAATCCGGGAGGCTCGGGGGCGCGGGACAGGCAGTTGCCCGGGGAGACCAACGCACAACAGCGGCGCGCGCCCGCGGGAGCGCACGGGGCGGCAGCCACGCAGCTGGCTGTAATCCCGCCTCCCGCCAGCCATGGCTCACTTGAGCTCGCCTAGCGGCTTCGGAGACCCGAGGGAGGAGAATGACCAGAAGGAATCAGAGGAGGGGTCAGAGGAGGAGGAGGTGGAGGAGGAGGTAGAAGAAGTGGAGGAGGAGGAGGAAAAGGAGGAAGTCGAAGACGTGGAGGAAGAGGAGGAGGAGGAAGAGGAGGAAGAAGGGGAGGAGTTGGTGGCGGAAGAGCAGGAGTTGGAGGCCCCGGAGACGTTCAGCGATGAGTACCTCTGGAAGGTCGTGGACATTGGTGACGACGAGGACTTCCCAGACGTGCGTTCCCGCTTGGCCAGCATCGTCAGCCCTAGCCTGAGCTCGACGCCCGAGCCCAGCCTCAGCGCGACCAGCACCGAAACGCCGAGCGCGAGCCTGCCCTCCAGCGCTTCCTCCCATAAAAGTACCGCCCCCGGCCCACCCCTTCCTCGAGGGCTTCCTAGCGCTCACGGGGAATCTGGTCCACCCACTCCTGTGCCTTCGTTGACCTGCGTTTCAGGCCTGATTTTAGATGCAGGCACCACTCCACACACCTAGGCTCTCTCACGCTCTTGTCAGAGGCGCTGAACTCGGCTGAGCTGTTGTGATGATGCGAGATTTAGGATATAGACGAAACACTGTAAAAGTCGAACTTGGGCATTGCTGTATGGAGTGCTCATTTGTTTTTTTTGTTTGTTTTGTTTTTTGAGGCTCAGTCTGGCTCTGTCGCCCAAGCTGAAGTGCAGTGGCTGCAGCCTCGACCTCCTGGGCTCAAGCCTCCCACCACAGCCTCCCGAGTAGCTGGAACTACAGGCACATACCACCACGCCTGGCTAATTTGTTGTTTGTTGTCGTCGTTGTTGCTGTTGTTGTTGTTGAGACAGGGTCTCTTGTTGCCCAGGCTACTGGGAGTGCTCATTTTTTTTTTTTTTTTTTTTTTTTGAGACGGAGTTTCGCTCTTGTTACCCAGGCTGGAGTGCAATGGCGCGATCTCGGCTCACCGCAACCTCCGCCTCCTGGGTTCAGGCAATTCTCCTGCCTCAGCCTCCTGAGTAGCTGGGATTACAGGCATGTGCCACCATGCTCAGCTAATTTTTTGTATTTTTAGTAGAGACGGGGTTTCACCTTGTTGACCTGGATGGTCTCGATCTCTTGACCTCGTGATCCACCCGCCTCGGCCTCCCAAAGTGCTGGGATTACAGACTTGAGCCACCGCGCCCGGCTTGGGAGTGCTCATTTTTATAACGCTTTCGCGTGCGTTCACACCGCGACATCTCTCCCTCTCTCCCCTCCCCTCCCCCCCTCGCCCCTCCCCCCACCACACACACTCGTGTTATTTCCAGAGAAGTGCCTTAAGGGTGCTGTATTACTAAAACAGTTCTGCAAAAAAACACAACTCTCTTTTGTGTTTAACATCCTGTACTGAAGCCACTCTAGTCACTTCCTTGAAAAAAAATAAGGAAGAGAAGTCGTTTAGAGTGGGTTTCTCAAACTCTAGTATTGACATTTGGGTCTGAATAATTCTTTGTTGAGGAGGATTGGGGACTTTCCTGCGAGTTATAGGACGTTTAGCAGCACCCCTGTCCTCTACCCTTGGTATGCTCAAAGTACACATCCTTGCGACGATCAAAAATGGCTCCTGACATTGCCATGTGTTCCTGGGGGGCAAAATTGCCCTTTTGATTTAGAGGGAGTAGCTAATTTTTAAATGTTTCATTCATTCAACAGGTTTCCCTAAAATATTTCAGACGTTTAGGAAAGACATGTCTGAAATGGGTATAGATAGGTAAGAAAATGTTTACAAATGTCGTATTTTTTGAACCCAATAATGTTTACCTTGCGCACAAACATGTTAGGAAGATAAGTAAAATAATCCAGGGCATGTAAGACTTATTCAAAAAAAGTTTTTTTTTTTTTAAATATACACTGGCAGACACTTTGGAAGAGATAATGGTTCCTACCTATCCCCAACTTCTAGCTCTAGAGATTACATGTCTACTTATCGATGTAACATGAAAGAATAAATATATGTGCCAGGTGTACAACCGTTAAGTGCTTGAGAGTTTAGAACACAGGCTTTTATTGGCTAAATGCAAGAGTGATCAGGGACACCTTTTGTGAAAGGGAAATAATGGCCTTTCCTTTTTCCTCTCTCTTTTTTCCTGTTATTGATACTAGCCTTCAAGCACTTTGACTATAATAATACGATAACAAAAATCTGGAACATCTTTATAAATATTCCCTGAAATCTCACACCAAACCTAAATCCATGATCTTGAATTACTAGTTAACCTAACTTTGCTTTTGTAAACAACTTTTAAATTCTTACATTTAAGGAGAATTGTTCTGTTCCACTTACATGTTTTAAGCTTAATTCAATTTGTAATAAAGATAATGTATCCACCTGGTTAAAAAAAAAAATCAAACTGTACAAAGGTATAAAAGTGAAAATCTCCATGCCTTTCTTCACCCCTAGTCCCACTTACCTTCAGCTTTGTTTCCATTATAATTTTAAATAACATTTTTATTTCTTGGTTTATCAATTTCTGACCTATGTATTGAATTCCCACCTCTCCACTTTGGTAGTTATATTATTTTTAGTTTTTCTAACATTTAGGACTTCAGGATATATATATATATATATATATATATATATATATATATATTTTTTTTTTTTGAGACGCAGTTTCGCTCTTGTTACCCAGGCTGGAGTGCAATGGCGCGATCTCGGCTCACCGCAACCTCCGCCTCCTGGGTTCAGGCAATTCTCCTGCCTCAGCCTCCTGAGTAGCTGGGATTACAGGCACGCACCACCATGCCCAGCTAATTTTTTGTATTTTTAGTAGAGACGGGGTTTCACCATGTTGACCAGGATGGTCTCGATCTCTTGACCTCGTGATCCACCCGCCTCGGCCTCCCAAAGTGCTGGGATTACAGGCTTGAGCCACCGCGCCCGGCCAGGACTTCAGGATATTTAAACTTCTACTTCTTGATTGATCAATTTTAGTATCATTGACTATTATGAAAAATTAATGTATTTATGCACTGCCTCCTTCCATCTCTCTTCTCTTTTTTCTCAATTAACAAACTATATATGATACATAAATTATATTAAAATGTAATATATTTACATAAATTTGTTTACTTTGCCAAGCTTTATTATGCTTGTATTATGGTTTGTTAATTATAATTAAAGTGCTCTGGGTATTGGTTGATTCTAAAAATTAAAAACCAATAAACAAGACTCATACTTCCATGTTAACAAACCAATAATGTGATTGAATCCATGGACAAGAAAATATAATCCTATGTCTGTAAAACTTGTTAAACTTTTTGCTGGGCTCGGTAGCTGACGCCTGTAATCCCAGCACTTTGGGAGACTAAGGCGGGCGGATCATGTGGTCAGAAATTGAAGACCAGCCTGGCCAACATAGTGAAATCCCGTCTCTACTAAAAATACAAAAATTAGCCAGGCATGGGGGCAAGTGCCTGTAGTTTCAGCTACTCAGGAGGCTGAAGCAGGAGAATTGCTTGAACCCAAGAGATAGAGGATGCAGTGAGCCGAGATCGCCACTGCACTCCAGCCTGGAGACAGAATGAGACTTCGTCTCAAGAAGATAAATAAAAATTTAAACAATAAACTTTTTGATTCTCCGTTGTTCTGTCTACAGTTTTTCTGGGTTAGCTCACCAGCCACACTTTCTTGGTTCCCGTATTGCCTTCTTTCTTTCGTTCCTTTTCCTTTTGCTGGAGAAACTCGTCAGGTGAATTTTTTATATAGGTCTCATGGAATAGTCAAATTTCTGAGTTCTTGCCTATCTCGAAATGTCTTCATTTTGTCCTCATACTTTGTTAATTATAAAACCTGGCATAAAAGAAGCGATTTGAAACCATTTTCCCTCAGAGCTCTGAAGACACTGCTTCATTGCCTCCTAGTAGCCAATACTGCTTCACCAGTCTTATCCTCAGACCATTCTGATACATGATTACTTTCTCCCCTTTTCTTCAGAGCTCCTCCTAGATGCTGTTGAACCTCTTAGGTAGATCCTCCATCTTTAATAACGTTTCCTTTGTATTTTCAGTATCTTCCAGATTTTTGAAGTTTTTTGCATGCTACTATACAGCCCTTGTACAGAATTTTTTTATTGGGGAATTCACACTTATCATTTTCAAGAACCAGTGCTTGTTCTCTGATTGTTGCTTTTCAAAAGAATTTGGTTCTTTTTTGTATTTTTGAAAATCTCTTTGAGGGTACTGTTTTAATATATTAAAGTTCTCCTTTGTATTATTTTTTCAAAGTCAGTTGTTCTGTTTATTTCTCTTGCTTTTTCTCTTCAGTGTTACTGATTTTTCTTAAGTGACTGGTAATCATTCGTTGCCCATTTGTATTTATAAATGAAAGCCTGGTAAGTAGCTAGAATGGAATCCTTCCCTAGCTTAGTAGTTCTGTTTTCTGACAGACCTTGCATGGGAGAGTCCGTCATGATTTTTGTGCAGGTGGGTGGGGCATAACAGTGTCACTTCCTGTGGAGTGTCTGGGCAGGGAAGAGTCAAGCTGGGTAATCCTACTATTACTAGAGTTAGGACAAGGATGCTTCGGTGTACGGTTGTGGTTATTTGTTTGTTTGTTTTTGAGATAAAGCCTTGCTCTATCTACCAAGCTGGAGTGCAATGGCAGGATCATGGCTTACTACAGCCTCTACCTGCTGGGCTCAAGCCATCCTCCTGCCTCAACCTCCCAAATAGCTGGGGCTGCAGGCACAGAACACAACACCTGGCTAATTTTTAAATTTTTTCTGTAGTGACAGTATCTCACCATGCTGCCCAGGCCAGTATCGAACTCCTGTGCTCAAGCTATCCTCCCACCTCATCCCCCCAAAAAAGATCTGATACAAACACAGTGTTTAAGTTTACTGAAAATAATGGAAGAAAATATTTCAAAGAAAATAGAGTCAGTATTTTCTATGTGCCTTAATTATTTGATTTTTTAATGTTCTATATTTAGAAGACCTGCTGACAACTATATAGGTCTACTCAAACCTAACATTTTGGTCTGAATTTCAGAAATATGAATCACAATTTGTCTTCAGGAATTCCAATATCAGTACAAACAGAAGAAAGCTGGCTTCGAGATTTGTCTGATAAAGCGCAATCGAGTGAGTAGTTTGACTTCTTAGCTTTTGCTGGGAGGAAGGATTGCCTATTGGAAATAACACAGGTGTAGAAGGCCAGTAGAGCCGGATTTGAATCCTGGCCCCAACACATACTAACCTTGTGATGTTGGGCAAGTTGCTTACCCTCTTTGAGTCTTACTTTCTTCATCCCTTGGTAATAGGCATACTGTCACAGGATTCTTATGAAGATCAAAACAAGATTAAATATTTTCAGTATTCAAGAAACGGTAGCAATTATGTTCACATCAAGAAATAATCTGCCATTGTATTTTTGATACATATCTTTATTTTTTATTATAAAAGTAACATGCACACTTTTTATATGTCAAGCCACTGACAAGTAGATAATGTAATAATTAAAATTTTAACTTTTCCAGTGTATTTCCTTTCAGCTTTATATTCACATTTTATGTTATGTAATTTATTCATCAGATGCTTACTGAACACTTACGGTTTGCCAAGCACCTATCATAGGCCTAGCCTGAAATAGGGAATCGGCAGTGAAAAAAACAAATCCCCCGTCTCAGTGTTATTAAAGTGTGGGAAGTGGAGGTGATGGTAAGAGCAATGATATATAGAATAAATCAGTAAATATATAAAACATTAGATGATGTCAGTGCCAAGGAGCAAAGTAAAGCAGGGAAGGGGCTGGAAAGTGTCGAGGGTTGGGGGTGGGGTGCAAGCTTATACAGGGTGCCCAGAGAAATCTTTCCTGAGAACCTGAGGTATCTGAGCAAAGACCTACAGGAGGGGAGAGAAGGAGCCAGGACAGTCTCACAGGAAAGGTGTTCCGTAGCAAGTGCCTCTTTCTAGAACAAGAGGCCAGTGTGGCGGCCATAGAGCAAGCAAGCAAGGAGGAGAGTCTTAGGGGATGAGGTTAGAGAGATCTGAGGACCAGATCTTTCCCAGTGGGAGCGAGGTGGGAAGCTGCTGGACAATTTGTGCAGAGAAGTGATACAATCCAATTGGTATTTTTAATGACTGCTGGCTGTGGAGAAAACATGAGGGCAAGAACCCGGAGACTGAGCCCAGAACACTCCATTATTAAGTTGGGGACAGGAGGAAGAAATTAAAGAAAAGCATCCAGTGAGGGAGAAGAAAAACCAGGAAGTGTTCTACATACCAATAAAGTTTCAAGGAGGCATAATGATCAACAGGTTCAAATGGTACTCAGAGGTTAGGAAGATGAGGGCTGAGCACTAACTACTAGATCTAGCACGTGGAAGTCATTGGTGATGTGGGTAAGACCAGCTTTAGTGTAACTATGGGGATAAAAGCCTGATTGGAGTAGGATCAAAAGACAGTAAACTAAATGTAGAATAGAAACGGAATCATGCTCCACAGTCCCCATTACTAAACTTTTAATGGCACAATGGTGTAACTAAAACATCAACACAGTCTTACTTTTAAAAAGTCAAAAGATACAAATCAAACAATAGTTTCTTTTGACTATTACCCTCAATTTTAGGTGTCACCACTATTATCATGTTGGTGTATCTTTCCAAATCCTTTCCTAGGCTTTTACATCCATATAAAAGTACAGTAGTGTGGCCCCTTTTGTTTGCTGTTGTTATTTACATGAATGGTAGCACGCTGAATATATTATTCTAGTTGCTTTTTCACTTAATATGCGTTGAAAATTTTTACCAGCAAATACAGGTAAAAATTCTTTGTAATTGTCATGTAATAGTACATAGTATAGATGTACAATTATTTATTTAAAGATTCCCCAACTGATGGGTAAAGTTTCTTCTAGATATTCACAAGTGTTACAGTAAGCTGCCTCCTCTCTGTTTACACACCCAAATATTGCTCTAAGACAGATGCCAAGAAAGTGGTATTGTTGAGCAAATAGTTACACATTTTAATCATCACCTTCCTAAAGAGCTGACCCAATGTATGCTTCCATCAAAAGGGTTGTTGAGACTACCCTTTTCCTACCCTTTCCCATATTTTATATTGTCATTCTTTTAAATTTTTGATAGTCTGGTAGGTGGAAATGATTATTATTATATTTCTTAATTATTCTGATTATTGCTGAGGTTGAGCATCTTGATACCAATATACATTTTTTGGTCATCTGAATATCTTCTTTGAATTAAGCAAAAGTGTTCATATCTTTTGCCCATTTTTCCATTGGCTTGTCTTTTCTTTCTTTATTTTTTGGCAGCTCTTTACATATCTGTAATACTTCTTTGAATGTTGCATATGTTGCAGATTGCTCCTCTTAGTTTGTCTTTTGCATTTGCTTGTGGTCATTTTTTGTTATATATAATTTTTTTTTTTTTTTTTTGAGACGGAGTTTCGCTCTCGTTACCCAGGCTGGAGTGCAATGGCGCGATCTTGGCTCACCGCAACCTCCACCTCCTGGGTTCAGGCAATTCTCCTGCCTCAGCCTCCTGAGTAGCTGGGATTACAGGCACGTGCCACCATGCCCAGCTAATTTTTGTATTTTTAGTAGAGACAGGGTTTCACCTTGTTGACCAGGATGGTCTCGATCTCTTGACCTTGTGATCCACCCGCCTCGGCCTCCCAAAGTGCTGGGATTACAGGCTTGAGCCACTGTGCCCGGCCTATATATACTTTTAAATTTGATGTAAGTAAACCTTTTCCTTCTGATTCTCACATTTTGTGATTTAAAAAGTATTTCCCTAATTCAAGGTTATATGTATATTTTCCTACATTTTCATCTAAAACTTGTAGAATTTTACTATTTCCCTTTAGCACCTTAATCAATATGGACTTTATTTTTGTGAATGGCTTGAGAAAATAGCCATGCTTTTTTCCTCCCAACCTTTGTCCCCATACTACTCCTTAAGCAGTCCAACCCTTCCACTCTGCTTTGAAATGGTGTCTTTATCCTATACTAAATTATCACATATATATTGTATATACATTTCATGTGTGTTCCATAAGGAAAAACAGGTTTCTTCTTCAAAGGGAGTCTGGTACCTTCTCCGTTTTCGTTAAGGAATCCCAGGCTATTATAAACTATGTTAGTTTCCTCATGCAGCAGAGGGTGCAAGAGAAAGGGGAGACAGCAAAAGAAAACAGAATTCAGTCAACTGAGAGGGAAAAAAACTTTTGCTCAAAAAAAGGAACAAGATTCTAGAAGAGAAAAGAAAAAAACTTGAAGGCCTTTTAAATACACACATACACACACACATTTTGGATGTTAGCTGATTTTAACCATTGAGCTTTAAAAAAATTTTTTTTTAAATCTCATCACTGTATTTCAGCTAGGACAAATTGCTGTTGTTTCAGAAGTACTAAGTATCAAACCAGAAAGGGCTTGATTTAGGAACCAAAACCCAGGCTGTTGCGGTGGAAAAAAGAAGGCAGAACTTTAGCTATGGAACTGCAGCACGGGGCAACAACCAGGGCTTTCAGTTTGGCCTGGCTAGCAAAAAGGTGGCCTGGTTATGTAAATAAATCCCCTTAGGGAGTCAAAATCAAAAATGTTTCCTTCCCCCTCCTCCCCCCCCACCCTTTTGCTGGCCATTTTTCTCCCCCAGCCATGCACCTTTTTTCACCCCCAGTGGCAAATTAGCCACTTCAGAGGCCTCATTTCCTGTAACTTGGAACTTTCTTTTCAGTTTGATCCAAGTCAGATAGAATTGGTCAAACCCAATGGGAAAAAGCAAGAAACAAAAACAAACGACAACAAAAAAACAGTCAGCAAAACGATTATCGCACAGCTTATATGATTACTGAGTACTCTAGTGGTAAGGAGAAAGTAAGACCAGCTGGTTGTTAACATTACCTTTAGCCAAGACAAAACCCAATTCAGTTACTTACCTAGGGATGGGTCTCAGGCTGAAGACTGCCGGCTATCATCCAAGGAGCAGGGAAAAAAAATCTCATCTTTCCTGTTGGAAGCAAGCTCAAACTCTGTAAAAGAGTTACCTCCCTTCCATTGTCATAGAAATGGGAAAAAATTGCCTGCCTTATGTTGGAAGCCAGTAAAACTTCAAAAAATAAGAAGTTGTAGAGCAAAATAAACTTTAGATCAGGGATTCTCTGGAGAGGGTGCTTCCAGGCCTCAGCAAATTATCCTACTGGTTTGAGCCATAAAGATAGCTCAAGCTAGTACCAAGCACTGATAAGAGATTTGTCAAATGTCAGAGGAAACTCCACTCAGAATCCCTCTATGGTTACCAAAGTGTGAACCCTGAAAATCTGAGACAGGTCTCAGTTAATTTAGAAAGTTTATTTTAGCAAGGTTGAGGATGTGCACCTGTGAAACATCCACAGGAGATCCTGGTGACATGTGCCCAAGGTGGTAGGACCACAGTTTGGTTTTATACCTTTTAGGGATACAGGAGACCTCAATCAACATATGTCAGGTGAACACTGGTTTCTTCTGGAAAGGCAGGACACCTCAAAGCAGGGAGGTGGCTTCTAGGTGACAGGTTGATAAGAGACAAATGGCTGCATTCTTTTGAGTTTCTGTTTAGCCTCTCCAAAGGAGGCCATCAAATATGCCTTTATCTCGGTGAGCACAGGGGTGACATTGAATAGAATGGGAGGCAGGTTTGCCCTAAGTGGTTCCCAGCTTGACTTTTCCCCTTAGCTTAGTGATTTTTGGCGCCGCAAGATATTTTTCTTTCAGGTAAGCTACCCAGTTTAGGGTATTTTGTTAATAGCCCAAATGAACTAAGACAGCAGTGTATCATGGACATCTTTCCATATCAGGAATGACTGACCTAATTCTTTGAAATTACTCCATGATATTTCCTCATATACAGTTACTGTGACTTATGTAATGCTAGACATATCAGGGTTGTTCTTGTCTTCTGTTTTTTTTGTTTGTTTGTTTGTTTTGAGCTCTTCCCTATAACAAATAATGCATTAATGAAAATCTTTGTGCATTAATTTTTTTTAAATATCTGTGCTGGCATTTCTGTTAAATAAGGATGCCTAAAACATTTTTAAAATTTTTTCAGATGATCCACATTGCCCTCCACCTCCCCAAAATAGATCAACTTCTTTAAAATTTTTTAAATTATTTATTTACTTACTTTTTTTTTTTGAGACGGAGTTTCGCTCTTGTTACCCAGGCTGGAGTGCAATGGCGCGATCTCGGCTCACCACAACCTCCGCCTCCTGGGTTCAAGCAATTCTCCTGCCTCAGCCTCCCGAGTAGCTGGGACTACAGGCGTGCACCAACATGCCCAGCTAATTTTTGTATTTTTAGTAGAGACGGGGTTTCACCATGTTGACCAGAATGGTCTTGATCTCTTGACCTCGTGATCCACCCGCCTCGGCCTCCCAAAGTGCTGGGATTACAGGCATGAGCCACCGTGCTCGGCCTTATTTACTTACTTTCTGAGACAAGGTCTTGCTCTGCCACCCAGACTTGAGTGCAAAGGCGTGATCTCAGCTCACTGCAGCCTCAACCTCCTGCTCAAGCGATCCTCCCACCTCAGCCCCAGTAGCTGGGACCACAGGCATCCACCACCACAACCGGCTAAATTTTTTAAAGTTTTTCACAGAGACAGAGTCTCAGTATTTTGCCAAGGCTGGTCTCAAACTCCTGAACTCAAGTAATCCTCCCACCTTGGCCTCCCAGAGTTCTGGGATTACAGGCATGAGCAACCACGCCTAGCCTAGATCAACTTCTGAAGCCTATCTGTTTCCAACAGCAGCCCTAACAGCCCTTGCTGTCCTGGCATTGCTGAGAAAATAAGTCCCTTGCATTTTAATAGCCTCTTCCCTTTGCCTCTGTCCCATTGTAGGTTGCTCTGATTGGTTTTTCGTCATCACAATCCTGTCTGCTTTAAATCTTCTAGACATTTACTCAAAGTTGCTGATTTGTGGATGGCCTTCTTCCCCATTTCCAGTGCTGCTCTGGAATCTACATAGAGTAATCCCGGTGGTTTACTTCACTATCTTGAACTATAACCCTCAGCACCCTCCTACCTGAAAAATCTCACCAAGGATAACAGACATAAAGTAGATTGATGGTACTTAAAAGAAGCAGAAAACAAAAGGGTATGCAAAGCATAGTTATAACCGAGGAAAATATTAATCTGTGTAGCACAATAGTCCCCTCTTATCTACAATTTCATTTTCTGTGGTTTCAGCTACCTGCAGTCTGAAAAGGGAAATTTCAGAAATAATCAACACATATGTTGTAAATTGCATGATATTCTGTGTAGAGTGATGAAATCTCTCACCATTCCACTCTGTCCTGCCTGGGACATGAATCATCTCTTTGTCTGTTGGACTCACTTCGCAGCCTTCTGATGATCAGATTGACTGTAGTGGTATTACAGGGCTGTGTTCAAGTAACCCTTAGTTTTTTTAAATTTTATTTTACTTATTTATTTATTTTGAGACAGACTCTCACTCAGTAGCCCACGTAGGAGTGCAATGACATGATCTCGGCTCACTGCAACCTCTGCCTCCCTGGTTCTACAGGTGCCCACCACCACGCCTGGCTATTTTTTGTATTTTTAGTAGACATAGGGTTTCGCCATGTTGCCCAGGCTGGTCTGGAACTCCTGACCCCAAGTGATCCACTCACCTTGGCCTCCCAAAGTGCTGGGATTACAGGCATGAGCCACTCAGTTTCTTAATAATGGCCCCAAAGCTCAAGAGAAGTGATGTTGGCAATTTGGATATGCCAAAGAGAATTTATAAAGTGTGTCCTTTAAGTGAAAAGGTAAAAGTTATTGACTTCATTGAAAAAAAAAATAGTAGGCTGAGGTTGCTAAGACACATGGTAAGGATGAATCATCTATCTGCAAAATTGTGAAGGGAAAAGAAAGTTGTGCATAGTAGGGTTTGGTACTACCTGAACTTTCAGGCATCCACTCAGGATATTGGAATGTTTCCCCTGCAGATCAAGGGGGACTACCGTATTCCAAGGCTAGAAAGGAAGGTGAAACATTTTAAACTGTGATATATAGAATGCTTACTTTCCTTTGTTCTTCCTTATTGTTGACAAAATGTTATTTGGGAAAAGGGGCAAAAGTTTAAAAGATAAAAGAAACATAGTAAGGGTGCTTATTTTTCCAAGAGATGCACTTTCTTTTATATTCAGCTTCTTTTCTACTTTGTCAGATTGATGACACATGTACACTGTTTTGACAGGGAAGAAAACTGAACCTGAGTCTCTGGCATCTAAGTTAAGAGGTAAATACAGGTTTGGCGTCATCTCCTTTTGCTGGCAAAGGTAAACCACCAGTAGGGAACCACCTTAACTCACACAGAGCCCATCCGCTTTGAAAAATGACTCACCTAAGAACATGTGTAAGAAGGTGCTGAAAATGTCGGGGTTTGGGACATCTGAACAGTGTGTGTGTGTGTGCTGGGCTAGGAGGATGATGGTGGGTGTGAATCTCCAGATTACGGAAGTGGAATGCACTGCACAAAGGCTTTGAACGTTTCTCATAAATCTCTTCCTTCTCTTCAGAAAAATGGGTAATTGATCCAGAAGAGCCAAAACTAAATATTTTATATGAGCTGGAGGTAAGAAATGTTTATCATACTAACTAGTACACTGTTCTCATAGTAAAAATAGTTTATTCGATCTTCAATTATTTCCCCGCACCACCCTTTTCTCTTTTTAAATTTAGTTTAAGGAAGACTTCATGACACTGTTTGAGCCTTCTCTGAGAACATTACCCAGCATCGGACCACCTTCCATTCTGGCATACAAAGAAGAGAGGTCCAATCTAGGCCTTAACTTCAAGGTGACTTTAATTCATGGTTTTTTAATTATTACTCTTTTACAATGACATGAAAAATACATAATGATTTGCACAATAGACAGTGAACATACTCTGCAGGGAAAAAAAAAAAATGCCAAAGAGCTCAATTACTTAGAATAATACTTAGAGTGACTGTGTTCGTTGCCCAGGGCTGCTATAACAAGTACCACAAACTGGGTGATACTTTGGATAACAGACACTCACTGTCTCGTAGTTCTGGAGGCTAGAAGTTCGAAATTGGTGTTTTGGCAGGGCTGACCTACAGGGCGAGTCCTTCCTTCCCTCTTCCTAGCTCGTGGTGGTGGCAGCCATCCGTGGCATTCTGTGGCTCGCCACCACATCACTCCAATCTCTGTCTCAGTTGTCACACTATTCTCTCTGTGCGTCTGGGTCCAAATGTCCCTCTTTTCTAAAGACACCAAGTCATATTGGATTTGGGCCCATTCGAATGACCTCATCTTAACTTGATTACATTTGCACAGACTGTATTTCTCAATAAGGTCACATTCACAGGTACCAGGAGTTAGGACTTCAATGTATCTTTTTGGGAGACACAATTCAACCCATATGAGTGGCCGCAGAGCCTGGAAACAGGCCAGACACGCTGTCTCACACCTGTAATCCTTGCACTTTGGGATGCTGAGACAGATCACTTGAGAACAGCCTGGGTGACAGAAAGAGACCCTGTCTTTTAAAAAAAAAATTATTATTTTATTATTATTAATTTTTGAGACAGGGTCTTGCTGTGTCACCCAGGCCGAGTGTAAAAATGGCCTGATGATGGTTCACTACAGCCTCAACCTCCTGGGCTTAAGCAGTCCTCTCACCTCAGCTTCCCAAGTAGCTGGGACCACAGATGTGTACCACTATGTCTAGCTAATTTTTAAAGTATTTTGTAGAGATGGGTCTCACTATGTTGCCCAGGCTTATTATTAAAAGAAGAAGAGAGAGGAAGAAGGAGAAGAAAAAGAAGGAGGATGAGGAAGAGGAGAAGAAAAGAAGAAGAAAAAGAGAAGAAAGAAGGAGGAGGAGGCCTGGAAACAAGGGTGAATATTTGCCGTATTTGATCATGTGAAGTGACCGATTAATGCCTGTACTCGAAGGGCAAGAGAAAGGATACCTCAAGTAACTCCAATAAGATGGTGCACCACCACACTGCCTCTAGAGTGGTGAGGAACTGACTGATGGAATGATTGTTTCCAAACCTGGACTGGGTGCCATGGCCATGTGGAAAGAATTGCTTACTCCCCAGATCTGAAAACCCTTGATGACTTCTTGGGCATAGTAAAAATGCAGGTTTATTCTTTAACAATGAGGGGCATGAATCATGCAAGGCAATACATCATGGATGCCTGTGTAGAGATTATGGAAATGCCGAACAGATGCACTGATGTGGTGTTCATTGCCATTCTGTACAGCACCTCGAGCCATGCAATCTAATAAGGAGAAACATTAAGTATATCATGTAATATAGCGTCTATAAACATTTACTTCTTATTTTTACCCAGGTTTCTAAACTTTATGGTCACTCAACAGACTCTTCAGGGTAAAATTCTTATTTCTTTTTATTTGCTCATTTAAAAGATGTGGTCTCACTATATTGCCCAGTGTGGGCCGAACTCTTGTGCTCAAGCAATACTCCTACCTTGGCCTCTCAAAGTGCTGGGATTATAGGCATGACCCGTCAAGCCCACCCCAGAAATTCTTTATTTAAATGTAGCACCTTCCTTTTTCTGCACCACAAAGGCTTGTATCTAGGGATGTCCCTGAGGTTATACTCTCCTCCCCCAACACCCAGAGATGGGTCTGACCATGGGGAAGGCCTTGAGGCCCCTCCTGAAAAATGTCCCTGAACTGGCACTTGGATGAGGCTGGCTCCTCCTGCTCCCCAGCAGGTCTTTCAGGTCCAGTGTTGATGCCAATCTAGTTTAGGGGCAGCAGCAGCTGGCTTGCCCAGCTCTTCTCTCTAGCCCCGTCTCCTTCAGGTGCAGATCCCTACTCCCCTCATGGTCTTTTTTTTTGAGATGGAGTCTCACTCTGTCACCCAGGCTGGAGTGCTAGGATGCAGAGGCGCAATCTCAGCTCACTGCAACCTCCACCTCCTGGGTTCAAGTGATCCTCCCTTCTCAGCCTCCCTAGTAGCTGGGACTACAGGCATGTACCACCATGCCTGGCTAATTTTTGAATTTTTAGCAAAGACAGTGTTCACCATGTTGGTCAGACTGGTCTCAAATTCCTGACCTCAGGTGATCCGCCTGTCTCAGCCTCCCAAAATGCTAGGATTACAGGTGTCAGCCACCGCGCCCAGCCTTTCTCATGGTCTTTTGAAGCATCTCCACCGTGCTTCACCCCCAGCTAAGGGTGAAAGGAAGACGGGCTGAGGAGTTCACTACCAAGTCCCTTGTATGGAGCAGGCTGTGAATGGCTTGGCATTGCCCAGCTCTCCTTCTGCCCTACTCCAACATTTGATAGCTATCCTAGATTTTCCTCCATCATCCCTCTAGTGCAAGACTTCCCTCTCCAAGCATTCTGCTTTTCACAATGTGCACTACTTACTCTTGGGTAGGTTCAGTGGCCTGAATATGGTGGACATTACTCTGGGGTAGTGAATCCCTGGCTGTACTGGCCACCTTAGTCACACGTTAGCCCTATGTTGAGCATTTTTGCCAGTCTCAGAGAATGGTTTCCATGGCAAATACAGATGCTGTGGTAGTGTTAACAATCTGCCAGTCATGATCTGGGTCTCTTCCTGGAGGCCTGTCCTAAGGCTTGGCTGCTCACCTGCTCAGGAGCCTGTGCCGTCACAGGCATGACCTCAGGCCATTGACATGGCTGTGGTGTATCAGCTCCACATTGAGTCAGCTGAGCCCCTAACTCCCAATTTCTCCCAATTACCTCCCCTCCTCCTCCCTGTCCTGAATTACCTTCAGAATACAGACAAAATTCAGAACTCCAACCTAGGCTCCCCTGAAGAAAGGACTCTCATTTATTTTAGAAAGTTGGTCATTATACATGGTGGCCTACACAGTGATGTCAAGGCTTTTTCTTACGTGGCACTTCTTGAAAGAGTTATCGATGTTCAAATACCTTAGACCATTTGTATAAAATCCAGTGTGTTATCCTTGTCTCTTGCATCTAGGTACACACTACACATTTCCCACCCCAACAAGGGACTCTGGTATCCACAGTGAATTCATTTCTTCAACTTTCTTCTTACACAAGGGAGGCATTCTGAGGACCACATACTTTCTAATATGTTCAGCTCTGCTCTGAGGAATTTCAACAGACAGAGACCTGAAAAACACCACCTCAGGCTCCTCAAGCCTCACCAGCCCTTAAATGGAAGTGATACCACATACTGGCACATCTCATCACCACTGCTGTTCCATTCACCAACTATGCGCAGGGCCATGCTCTTGTTGCTCTGAGTCTTTGTGGAGACTTCTTTAATTTTTTCCTCTCTCTCTGAAGGATGAAGAGGAGGAGACATCACCTGAATGTGAATTTTGTGGAAGCGATCTAAGACCATTTTTTTCTAATGTGGATATTTGCTCTGAAGCAAAAGGGCATGTAAGTTCTAAGGCAGGTTTACTGTGAAAATAGTGTTGTCTTTAAACATATGTAGTATTTTCTCTTGCGTCTTTCCCCGCATTGTCATTTTTAAAAGTTAGGCTGGGCACACTGGCTCACACCTGTAATCCTAGCACTTTGAGCAGCCGTGGTGGGTGAATTGCCTGAGCCCAGGAGTTGGAGACCAGCCTGGGCAACATGGTGAAACTCTATCTCTACTAAAATACAAAAATTAGCCGGCCGTGGTGGCATGCACCTGTAGTCCCAGCTACTAGGGAAGCTGAGGCAGGAGAACTGCTTGAACCCAGAAGGCAGAGGTTGCAGTGAGCTGAGATTGTGCCAGTGCACTTCAGCCTGGGTGACAGAGTGAGACTCTGTCTCCCAAAAAAGTTATGTGTGAGCTGTCAGGGAAATGCAAATTGCAAGCATAATGAGATACCACTTCATACCCACTAGGATGGGTATAATTTAAAAGACAGATAATAATAAGTGTTGATAAAGATGTAGAGAAATTAGAACCCACATGTACTGCTGAGGGGGAATACGAACTGTTGCATCACTTTGGAAAACAGTCTAGTAGTTCCTTGAACGTTTCAACATACAGTAACCATATGACCCAGCAATTCTATTCCTAGGTTTATACCCAAGAAAACTGGCCACATATGTCCACACAAAAACTTGTATGAAAATGTTCACAGCAGCATGATTCTTAATAGCCAAAATATAGAAACAACCTGACGTCCATCAGTGGATGAATGGTGAATGGAATGTGGTATATCCATGCCATGAAATATTATTCAGCCATAAAAAGAAATATGAAGTACTGAAACATGTTACCATATGGATAAACCCTGAAAACATTATGCTAAGTGAAAGAAGCCAGTCTTTCACTTAGCATGTTGTATGGTTCCATTTTATAAACTGTACAGAACAGTCACATTTAGAGAGACAGAATGTAAATTAGTGGTTGCCAGGGACTGTGAAGAAAGGAGAGGAAGTGACTGTTAGTGAGAATGAGTTTCAGATTCTAAAATTGATTGTGGTGATAAGTGTACAACTCTGTGAATATATTACAACTAATGAATTGTACTTTTTAAATGGGTGAATTGTATGGTGTGTGAATTATGTTGTAATAAAGCTATTACTAGAATAAAAAGTTATGATAGATTGTTGTCCACATCTTAGTCATTTGTATCCCCTCTAGTCGTCTTCATCTAGGACTGATGAAATGAAAGTAACTTCTATGTTTTCCAGGCCTCCTGTTGTATTGCTTTCCAAAATCTGATTGACTCTATCTATGAGGAGCAAATAAAAATCAAACCCCCTAAGGCTGAATTAATCGCTATTAACCCTCATGCAGCCCATGGCAGTGAGGTTGACAGATTGAAGGCAAAAGAAAAAGCCATGCAAAGGTAACACTGAGCCTTTGATACTGAAACTCAGACAGGCCAGCTTAATCAGAGCACCTTTTGCAAATGAACCTCATTTTTTCAAGATATGTAATTTTAAAGATGTATTCCCTAGATTCACAAGCAATAACAGATCAAATTGACAAAGGATGGCATTTAAGCAGTTGAATTTTGTAGTAGACTGTTTTAAGCTTCAACCACATTTCAGATTTATGCCTAATATTTTTTGATTTTATAGGAAACAGGAGCAACGAATGGCCAGACATTTTGCAATAATATCAAGGGAACAGACTCATTTCTCTGAAGAAGGTGAGTTCATCAACGCTGATCTTATAGACCAGCTGTACAACATCAGAAAGCTCAGATGTTTAACCAATGATGAAATGGGTGTATTTAAAAAATAGTATTGGCTGGGTGTAGTGGTTCACGCCTGTAATCCCAACACTTTGAGAAGCCAAGGTGGGAGGATCACTTAAGTCCAAAAGTTTGAGAACAGTCTGGGTAACATGGTGAGATCCCATCTCTATTAAAAATAATAATAATAATTAGTAGTATTGAAAAGTTTTTAGTTCCAAGTACGGTATAGCCTGCATCAGTCAAAATGGCTCAGAAAATCTAGCGTTTCCAGCCATCTGGCCTTTGGAGTTTTCAGTCTTCATCTCATTGCTATTATTTATTGAAATAAATTAGCAACACCTATAGAGCACTTTACGGATAATCGCAAAGAGCTTTCAAGTTTCATATTTTATTAAGCATACTTTCCATTTTGTTTTCAAGCTTGGATATGGAGAATCTGTCCAAAATGAGTCTGCTTATTTTGTTCATCTCTTAGTTGTGTAAGCTGGCTGGCCAGTATCACTGTAGTACTGGTACAGTTGAAGAAACGCTGAGTTCAGAATCAGAAGTCCTGTATTTATATCCTTGATTTTCTCCTCAGAGGCTGTCTGATGTAGAGTAAATGACTTAATCTTCCTAGGCATCAGGCTCCTCCTCTACCACCCAGGGCTACTGAAAAGACACTGAGATGGGAGCTAAGCTCTGAGGACGTAAAGGCATGAGAATGATACAGTGGACTTTGGGGATTTGCCGGTAACGGGTGGGAGGGCGGTGAGGGATAAAAGACTACACATCACTGCTCAGGTGATAAGTGTGCCTAAATCTCAGAAATCACCACTAAAGAACTTATTCACGTAACCAAACACCACCTGTTCCCCAAAATCCTATTGAAATAAAATAAAAATAGAAGTTGAACTGCCAAAAAAAAAAAAAAAAAGAAAAGAAAAGAAAAAAATGCTTAGAGAAGACACATTTTTATTTATTTTTGTAACTAAATCCCTAATATAAAGTTTCTTGGCTGGGCGCGGTGGCTCAAGCCTGTAATCCCAGCACTTTGAGAGGTCGAGGCGGGTGGATCACGAGGTCAAGAGATCGAGACCATCCTGGTCAACATGGTGAAACCCCGTCTCTACTAAAAATACAAAAATTAGCTGGGCATGGTGGCGCACGCCTGTGGTCCCAGCTACTAGGGAGGCTGAGGCAGGAGAATTGCTTGAACCCAGGAGGCGGAGGTTGTGGTGAGCCGAGATCGCGCCATTGCACTCCAGCCTGGGTAACAAGAAGAGCGAAACCCCGTCTCAAAAAAAAAAAAAAAAGTTTCTTGACATCCAACTGTTTAGAGTGTCAGTTCTACAGGAACTAAAAGCCAGAAAGTTCCACTTAACGAAAATTGTCTTTTTTTTCTTTTTCTTTTTTTTTTTTTTTAGAGACAGTCTCACTTTGTCACCCAGGCTGAAGTGTAGTGGTGCGATCTTGGCTCACTGCAACCTCTGTCTCCCGGGTTCAAGCAATTCTCCTGCCTCAGCCTCCTGAGCAGCTGGGATTACAGGCACACACCACCATGCCTAGCTAGTGTTTGTATTTTTGGTAGAGATAGGGTTTCACCACATTGGCCAGGCTGGTCTCAAACGCCTGACCTCAAGTAATCTACCCGCCTTGGCTTCCCAAAGTGCTGGGATTACAGGCATGTGCCACTGAGCCTGGCCTCATTTTTCTTAACAAAGGAATGTCCTTTTTTTTGCCAAAAGAAGCCCCTTCCCTAATTTAATGAAGGCTGACATTTTTCTTTCTTTCATCCTCTTCATATGTAAGATGGGAATAATAGCATTTTTAAAGATGATGAAAAATTCAGATATAAAAAAGTCTTATGAATCAATGCATTCATATTGGGGTTTGAAATTTCATTTTAGAAAAGAGGCTTTAGAAAATTTAAAACATACATGTGTTTCTATGTGATTCTTTTCCCATTAGATTCAAAGCGCTTAAAAACAATTTCTTATCAACTTTCTGTGGATATTCCAGAAAAACCAACAATTGATGACATAATATTTGATTTTCAACTAAAAAACAGTAACATGTTCATCATTTGTTGTGATTCTCGGATGGCATGTGGAAAGGTAATGAATTTGTAATTTTTTACTTGCTATTAAAAAAATCAGTTTTACCTAAAATTATAAACTCTTTCATGAAGCTTGGCTACATGATGCATTTAACTAGTTGTCAAAAAGAATTAGCACAGGCTTGGCCTTTTAACTTTTACTAGACTTTATAACAATGTCTTATGTTTGTATTAAGGGCTTTTTTACTTTAAAATGTAAGTGTTGCATATTAAAGAACATCTGAAACTTGTAGAAAATTAAAAGGAAGGGAAGAAAATTACCAGAAGTTCCCAATCACTTCTTCCAGAACATTAATATTTCAATATTTTCTTTTTTTTTTTTTTTTTTTGAGACGGAGTTTCGCTCTTGTTACCCAGGCTGGAGTGCAATGGCACGATCTCGGCTCACTGCAACCTCCGCCTCCTGGGTTCAGGCAATTCTTCTGCCTCAGCCTCCTGAACAGCTGGGATTACAGGCACGCGCCACCATGCCCAGCTAATTTTTGTATTTTTAGTAGAGACGGGGTTTCACCTTGTTGACCAGGATGGTCTCGATCTCTCGACCTCGTGATCCACCCGCCTCGGCCTCCCAAAGTGCTGGGATTACAGGCTTGAGCCACCGCGCCCAGCCCAATATTTCAATATTTTCTAGACTTACACTGCCCACTATGGTAGCAATACTACGTTGAGCTATTTAGATTTAAATTAAATTAAAAATGTAATTCCTCAGTCACACTAGCTATTCCACAAGTCTTAGATAGCTACATGTAATTAGTGGCTACTGTACCACAGTGAAGATAGAGAACACTTTGCTTGTAATCAAGTTATATTAGCACTGTTCTAGATGGTTTCCCTTGCATATGTTTTTAACATATTTATAATTGTATCATATATATAATTTTAATCTCTTTTTTTTTTTTTTTTTTTTTGAGACGGAGTTTCACTCTTGTTACCCAGGCTGGAGTGCAATGGCGCGATCTCGGCTCACCGCAACCTCCGCCTCCTGGGTTCAGGCAATTCTCCTGCTTCAGCCTCCTGAGTAGCTGGGATTACAGGCACGCGCCACCATGCCCAGCTAATTTTTTTTTGTATTTTTAGTAGAGACAGGGTTTCACCATGTTGACCAGGTTGGTCTCGATCTCTCGACCTTGTGATCCACCCGCCTCGGCCTCCCAAAGTGCTGGGATTACAGGCTTGAGCCACGGCGCCCGGCAATTTTAATCTCTTTTTTAGCTTAATTATAAAAACAGATTTTCCAAGACTAGGTACAGTGGCTCACATCTGTAATCCCAGCACTTTGGGAAGCCAAAGTGGACGGATTGATGGAGTCCAGAAGTTCAAGACCAGCCTGGACAACAAGACAGAACCCCGTTTCTAGGAAATATAGAAAAATTAGTTGCGCATGAAATTAGTTGCGCATGTTTGCACGTACCTGCAGTTTCAGCTACTTAGGGGGCTGAAGTAGAAGGATCCCTTAAGCTTGGGGGCAGAGGTTGCAGTGAACTGAGATTGCACCACTGCACTCCAGCCTGGGTCACAGAGCAAGATCCTGTCTCAATTTTTTTAAAATGCATGATATTATATAGTTTGCATTATTTTAATAGCTATGTAATTTTTCATGTAGTTTAACCCATTTTTCTGTTCTTGGACATACTGATTCTTAACAATTTTTTTGCTATACTAAGTAGCATTTCTTTAAATATCCTTGTAAGTAAGTACATTTCTGTATAAGTATAGTTTCTCAGAATAGATTTCCCAACATTAAATCACTGAGACCTGGTTTGTTTCTCTTGGGAAGTAAAGAATTTAAGGGGTAAATCAGGCAAACTGGCTTGCACCTGTAATCCCAGCTATTCAGGAGGCTAAGGTGGAAGATAAGTTGAGGCCAGAAGTTTGAAACCAGTCTGAGCAGCATAGCAAAATCCCATCTCTAAAAAAAAAAAATTTGGCTGGGTGTGGTGGCTCACGCCTGTAATCCTAAAACTTTGGGAGGCCGAGGCGGATGGATTGCTGGAGCTCCGGAGTTTGAGACCAGCCTGGGCAACATAGTGAAACCCCATCTCTACTAAAATACAAAAAATTAGCCAGATGTGGCAGCATGTACCTGTAATCCCAGCTACTTGGGAGGCTGAGACAGGAGAATTGCTTGAACCTGGGAGGCAGAGGTTGCAGTTAGCCATGATCACGCCAGTTCATTCTAGCCAGGGTGACAGAATAGGACTCTGTCTCAAAAAATTTATTTTTATTTTTATTTTTTGTTGTTGTTTTTAGCACAATATGTGACATTTGGATAGCAAAAAAAATATTTTTAATGAATTAGCTGGGCATGGTGGCACATGCCTATAGGCCCACCTATTTGGAAGGCTGAGGCAGGAGGATCACCTGAGCTGAGAGTTTGAGACTGCAGTGGGCTATCATCATGTACTCCAGCCTGGGTGACAGAGCAAGACCCCATCTCAAAACAAACAAACAAACAAAAAAAGAGAGTAAGGGTGTCAGTAAACCCAGGTGCCTGAAAGAAGTAAATCCAAACTATCTTTGGAGAAAGGTCACTAATTCAACCTTCAAATCACATCTACAAATTATTTTTCAAGTTCAGTTACAGAACACAGTAAAAATTAAACAAGAACAGAAGAAAACTTAACACTACAACTAAAAACCCAGAGGAATAATATCCAATAAGAAGAGACCTGAAAAGACTTTGGCAAATGAAGAAGTCTAACTGTGTTAATGAAAATAAAAGATCAGCTGAAACTATATGAAGGGAACAGAAAACTATAAAGTGATGTAGCAGATTTGAAAAGAAAAAAAATGAAATGAAATGAAAAATGCTACAACTGAAATAAAAAATACAATTGAAAATAAAAATTTAAAAGATGAGAGTTAAAAGCAGGTTAAACTAAAGAAATAGCTAATGTCCAGGAAGAAAGGTTGAAAAGAAAAAATATCAAAATTCATTATGGGGACTGAAAAAAAGATAAGAAACACAAGAGAGAGTGTATGGTACAAAAATAAAATGAGGGCTGGGCGCGGTGGCTCACGCCTGTAATCCCAGCACTTTGGGAGGCCGAGGCGGGTGGATCATGAGGTCAAGAGATCGAGACCATCCTGGTCAACATGGTGAAACCCCGTCTCTACTAAAAATACAAAAAATTAGCTGGGCATGGTGGTGCATGCCTGTAATCCCAGCTACTCAGGAGGCTGAGGCAGGAGAATTGCCTGAACCCAGGAGGCGGAGGTTGCAGTGAGCCGAGATCATGCCATTGCACTCCAGCCTGGGTAACAAGAGTGAAACTCTGTTTCAAAAAATAAAATAAAATAAAAAAATAAAAAATAAAATAAAATGAAAGGTCTAAAGTACATTTATTCAAAATACCAGAACACGAGAAAAAAAGATAATTAGGAAGAGGCAATATTTTAAAAGATAATGGATGATAATTGTTCAAAATTGAGAAAAGAGACCAATCCACAGGTTTAAGAATCCCAGTGATTTCAAGCAGCATGAGAAAGAAAAAATGGAGAAAACCAAAGACAGAAAGAAAGAAGAAAAAAGAAAGAAAGAAAGAGAAAAAGAAAGAAGAAAGAAAGAGAGAGAGAGAGAAAGAAAGAAAGAAAAAGAAAAAATCTTAGAAGTAGCAGAGGGAATAAAAGTTCAGGGTTCAGGTTACATTGAAAAGAAAACAGACTAGCAGATGACCTCCCAACAGCCAACAATAGAGGTTCAAAGGCAATGAATGGAATGTCTTAAGTGTGGTGAAAGACTACAATGGCCAATCTAGAATTCTATACCCAGTTAAAATATATTTCAAGAAACTGTAAGATAGGTCAGATGCAGTGGCTCACACCTGTAACCCCAGCCCTCTGGGAGACCAAAGCAGGCACATCACCTGAGGTAGGGAGTTTGAGACCAGCGTGGCCAACATAGTGAAACCTCATTTGTACTAAAAATACAAAGATTATCCAGGTATGGTGGCACACACCTGTAATCCCATCTACTTGAGAGGTTGAGGCAGGAAAATCGGTTTAACCCAGGAGGTGGAGGTTGCAGTGAGCCAAGATCATACCACGGCACACCAGCCTGGGCAATAGAACAAGACTCTGTCTCAAAACAAAAAAAAATAAAAAATAAATGAAAGTGTAAGATAAAGATAAGAGGATCACTTTATAAGATAAAGGCTCTCTGCTCCTCCTGTTCGACAGACAGCCGCATCTTGTCTCCTGTCGCCAGCCACATCCCTGACACCATGGGAAGGTGAAGGTCGGAGTCAACAAATTTGGTTGTATTGGGCACCTGGTCACCAGGGCTGCTTTTAACTCTGGTAAAGTGGATATTGTCGCCATCAATGATCCCTTCATTGACCTCAACTACATGGTCTACATATTCCAGTATGATTCCACCCATGGCAAGTTCCATGGCACTGTCAAGGCTGAGAACGGGAAGCTTGTCACCAATGGAAATCCCATCACCATCTTCCAGGAGTGAGATCCCTCCAAAATCAAGTGGGGCAATGCTGGCGCTGAGTACATGGTGGAGTCCACTGGCGTCTTCACCACCATGGTGAAGGCTGGGGCTCACTTGCAGTGGGGAGCCAAAAGGGTCATCATATCTGCCCCCTCTGCTGATGCCCCCATGTTTGTGATGGGCGTGAACCATGACAACAGCCTCAAGATCGTCAGCAATGCCTCCTGCACCACCAACTGCTTAGCACCCCTGGCCAAGGTCATCCATGACAACTTTGGTTTTTTTTTGTTTTTTTTTTTTTTGAGACGGAGTTTCGCTCTTGTTACCCAGGCTGGAGTGCAATGGCACGATCTTGGCTCACCGCAACCTCCGCCTCCTGAGTTCAGGCAATTCTCCTGCCTCAGCCTCCTGAGTAGCTGGGATTATAGGCACGTGCCACCATGCCCAGCTAATTTTTTGTATTTTTAGTAGAGACGGGGTTTCACCGTGTTGACCAGGATGGTCTCGATCTCTTGACCTCGTGATCCACCCGCCTCGGCCTCCCAAAGTGCTGGGATTACAGGCTTGAGCCACTGCGCCCGGCCACAACTTTGGTATTGTGAAGGACTCATGACCACCGTCCACGCCATCATTACCACCCAGAAGACGGTGGATGGACCCTCCAGGAAACTGTGGTGTGATGGACGTGGGGCTCTCCAGAACATCATCCCTGCCTCTACTGGTGCTGCCAAGGCCGTGGGCAAGGTCATCCCTGAGCTGAATGGGAAGCTCACTGGCATGGCCTTCCGTGTCCCCACTGCCAACGTGTCAGTGGTGGACCTGACCCGCCATCTGGAAAAACCTGCCAAATATGATCACATCAAGAAGGTGAGGAAGCAGGTGTCGGAGGGCCCCCTCAAGGGCATCCTGGGCTACACTGAGCACCAGGTGGTGTCCTCTGACTTCAGCAGTGACACCCATTCTTCCACCTTCGATGCTGGGGCTGGCATTGCCCTCAATGACCACTTTGTCAAGCTGATTTCCTGGTATGACAATGAATTTGGCTACAGCAACAGGGTGGTGGACCTTATGTCCCACATGGCCTCCAAGGAATAAGACCCCTGGACTACCAGCCCCAGCAAGAGCACGAGAGGAAGAGAGGCCCTCATCGCTGGGGAGTCCCTGCCACACTGAGTCCCCCACCACACTGAATCGTCCCTCCTCACAGTTTCCATGCAGACCCCTTGAAGAGGGAGGGGCCTAGGCAGCCCCACCTTGTCATGTACCATCAGTAAAGTCCCCTGTGCTCAGCCAACAACAACAAAAAAAACAGATAAATATAAAGATGATCTCTTTTTAATTAATAAAATTGCAATCTACCAGGAAGATACAGCATTATAAAATATGTTGTCCTTATTAGCACAGCCTCAGAAATATATGGAGCAAAATTTCACAGACGTAAAAGGAGAAATAAAACCACATTCATAATGAGATAGTTTAGCCTACTTTTTTTTTTTTTTGAGAGAGTCTTGCTCTGTTGCCCAGGCTGGAGTGCAGTGGTGTGGTCTCAGCTCACTGCAACCTCTGCTTCCCAGGTTCAAGTGATTCTCTGCCTCAGCCTCTCAAGTAGCTGGGATTACAGGTATATAATCCCACTGGCCACCACGCACAGCTAACTTTTGTACATTTAGTGAAGGCAGGATTTTACCATGTTGGCCAGGCTAGTCTTGAACTTTTGACCTCAGGTGATCCGCCTGCCTCGGCCTCCCAAAGTGCTGGGATTATGGGTGTGAGCCACTGTGCCTGGCCCTACCTCTTTCAGTAATTCACTACTAGACCAAAAATAAAAATAAAAAAACAAGGAAGAGGGTGCAATCCATTTAACAAATTTGACCTAATGTTCATGGATAGGGAGAGGAAATATTTTAAGGATGACACTCTTTGATCAGATCACTCTTTCCAGAGTGATCTATAGATCCGATACAATCTCAGATTCTAACAAGATTGGATATGTATGGTATTGGGGGAAGGGAAGTCTCGACAAGTTGATTCTAAAATGTATGTGGAAATACAGAGAACCTAGAGTAACCAAAACACTCTTGAAGAAGAAGAGGCTGAGGAGAGGAGAATATGTTCTACCAGATATTAAGAACTATTACAAAATATAGTAATTAAGAGAGTATAGTATTGTGGCAGGATAAACAAGGAAATCCATATACATAATAGAGTCGAGAAACAGACTCATGCATGCATGAGCATCTGATTTATGACAACAGTGGCATTGTACTTTGTGCTGGGGCTGTGTTTTATCTGCTTTTGTTTTGTTCTTATAGTAATGTGTATAATGTAAAAAAAAAGTTCAAATAGATATGTAATGGCAGATTTCTACCAGAAGGATTTTTTTTTTTTTTTTTTTTTTTTTTGAGACGGAGTTTCACTGGTTACCCAGGCTGGAGTGCAATGGCGCGATCTCGGCTCACCGCAACCTCCGCCTCCTGGGTTCAGGCAATTCTCCTGCCTCAGCCTCCTGAGTAGCTGGGATTACAGGCACGCGCCACCATGCCCAGCTAATTTTTGTATTTTTAGTAGAGACGGGGTTTCACCATGTTGACCAGGATGGTCTCGATCTCTTGACCTCGTGATCCACCCGCCTCAGCCTCCCAAAGTGCTGGGATTACAGGCTTGAGCCACCGCGCCCGGCTTTACCTGAAGGATTTTTATCAAGTTATACTTACAAGGGTTAGGGACAATCTATACATAAGTGTTAAGGATTGTTTTCTGTTGTTGAGCAGGGCCAAAGTGTAAATTAAGAAATGATTTGTATCAGTGTCTTTTTTTTTTTTGAGATGGAGTTTCGCTCTTGTTACCCAGGCTGGAGTGCAATGGCGCGATCTCGGCTCACTGCAACCTCCGCCTCCTGGGTTCAGGCAATTCTCCTGCCTCAGCCTCCTGAGTAGCTGGGATTACAGGCACGCGCCACCATGCCCAGGTAATTTTTTTGTATTTTTAGTAGAGACGGGGTTTCACCATGTTGACCAGGATGGTCTCGATCTCTTGACCTCGTGATCCACCCGCCTCGGCCTCCCAAAGTGCTGGGATTACAGACGTGAGCCACTGCGCCCGGCCCCTGTATCACTGTCTAGTAACCAGCCGATGTGCATTGTTGTCGTACTTACTACTTTATATCTGAAACAAGTGTATTTTCTGTTGTGTATAGGTTGTGAGGAATGAGCTCTTAGAGAAGCACTACAAACATGGGAGCAAGTTTCTGACTTCATTTCCAGATGGGACAACACAAATATTGTATCCTCTTTCAACAAGCTATTTTTATTAGCTTTATTACTTTAAAAAAAACAGGAAGTTAAAGAAAGAAAATATATGACCGGGCGCAGTGGCTCACCTGTAATGCCAGCACTTTGGAAGGCCAAAGCAGGCAGATCGCTTGAGCTCAGGAGGTCGAGACCAGCCTGGGCGACATGGCAAAACTCCACCTCCATAAAATGTTAGTTGGGCACGGTGGCACATGCTTGTAGTCCTAGCTACTAGGAGACTTGAAGTAGGGGGATCACCTGGGCTCAGGAGGTGGCAGCTGCAGTGACTGATATTGTGCCACTGCACTCCAGCACGGGCAACAAAGTGAAACCCTGTCTCAAACAACAACAAGAACAACAACAACAACAAAACCAAACCAAACCAAACAACAACAACAACAAAATATATATATAAAGATCCAGTGTAACTGAAAAATAGAAACTTTAATTAAAAAGACAAATCAATAGAAAGATAAAGGAAAACTATAAAGAAACTATAGTGGCTGAGCATGGTAGCACACACTTATAATCCCAGCACTTTGAGAGGCCGAGGAAGGAGGATTACTGGATTCCAGGAGTTTAAGCTCAGCCTGGGCAGCATAGTGAGATCCCATCTCTACAAAAAATAAAAATATTTAGCCAGGTGCGGTGGTACATACCTGCAGTCCCGGCTACTTAGGATGATGAAGTGAAAAGATTGCTTGAGCCTGGGAGGTCAAGGCTGCAGGGAGCCATGATCATGCCACTGCACTCCAGCCTAAATGACAGCAAGACCAAGAAAGAGGAAGGAAGGGAGGGAGGGAGGGAGGGAGGAAGGAAGGGAAGGAAGGAGAGGGAAAGAAAAAGAAAGAAAGGAGCCGGGCGCGGTGGCTCAAGCCTGTAATCCCAGCACTTTGGGAGGCCGAGGCGGGTGGATCACGAGGTCGAGAGATCGAGACCATCCTGGTCAACAAGGTGAAACCCCGTCTCTACTAAAAATACAAAACATTAGCTGGGCATGGTGGTGCGTGCCTGTAATCCCAGCTACTCAGGAGGCTGAGGCAGGAGAATTGCCTGAACCCAGGAGGCGGAGGTTGCGGTGAGCCGAGATCGCGCCATTGCACTCCAGCCTGGGTAACAAGAGTGAAACTCCGTCTCCGAAAAAAAAAAAAAAAAAAAAAAAGGAAGGAAGGAAGGAAAGGAAAAAAGCAGGCAGGCAGGCAAATACTACCCTCAAATTCTACCACCCAGAGAAAAGCTGTTAGCATTTAATTACTATTGTTTTTTTAAGACAGGATCTCACTGTGAGGCCCAGGTTAGAGTATAGTAGCCTGATTATGACCCACCGCAACCTCAACCCTAGGGGCTCAAGCAGTCGTCCCACCTCAGCATCCTAAATAGATGGGACCACAGGCATGCACCACTATACCTGGCTATTTTTTTTAATTTTTGGTGGAGATAGGGTCTCTCTATGTTGCCCAGGCTGGTCTTGAACCCCTGGATGCAAGCAATCCTCCTTTCTCAGCCTCCCAAGTGGCTGGAATTACAGGTGTGAGCTACTGCATATCTGGCCAGCATTTAAAAACATGGTTTTTTTGGCTATTGTGAACACACTTGCTATGAAGTAGCCCTGCTCCCCAAGGAGCAGGAAAAAAAAAAAGAAAAATAAATAAAAATATATGGTTTTGTTTGTTTGTTTTTTGAGACAGAGTCTTACCCTGGCTGTAGTGCAGTGGTGGGATCTTGGCTCACTGCAACTTCCACTTCCCAGGTTCAAGCAATTTTCCTGCCTCAGCCTCCCAAGTAGCTGGGATTACAGGCACACGTCGCCACACCCAGCTAATTTTTGTATTTTTAGTAGGGACAGGGTTTCGCTACATTGCCCAGACTGGTCTTGAACTCTTGACTTCAGGTAATCTGCCCGCCTCAGCCTCCCAAAGTGCTGGGATACTATATATATGCATATATATACATACATATAAACTGATTCTTTAACTGTTTATTCATATTTTCGGATTCCTTTACATATTATACACTAATGTTATGAATATATGATATGCAATAAAGACACATCATTTTTTCCCAAAAAAATCCACTTTTATACCTGAATTGAAACTTAGAAACACCATTTTATACCTGAATTGAAACTTAGCAATGCCATTTTATTACCTGAATTGAACACCATTTTATAACCTGTTTATACCTTAATTGAAACTTAGCAACACCATTTTATAACCACATAGTACTTCATTATATAGATGTACTACGATTCATTTAACCTATTAGGTGATTTCACAATTTTTGCTATTATACACAACAGCTAAATTAACAGCTTTGGGCATACTTTGTGGCATAGTTGCCACTTATTTCCTTGAATTAAATACCCAGGGGTTGAGGCTGGGCATGGTGACTCAGGCCTATAATCCCAGCACTTTAAGAGGCCACAATGGGCAGACTGCTTGAGCTCAGGACTTTGAGGTCAGCCTGGGCAACAGAGTGAAAGCCTGTGTCTACAAAAACATATAAAAAATTAGCCAGATATGATGGTGCACACGTGTAGTTCCAACTACCTGGAAGGCTGAGGTAGGAGGATTGCCTGAGCCAGAGAGGTTGAGGCTGCAGTGAGTGCAGTGAGCTGTGATCGTGCAACTGCACTCCAGCCTGGGCAACAGAGCAAGATCCTGTCTCAAAAATTAATTAATTAAACATATAGGGGTAGAAATTCTGGATGAATAATTTGGACATTTTAAAGCTTTGATAGATGTTGCCATCCCTCCATCCCAGAAAATGTATACCAGTTTTCACACCCATGAGTGGTAGACAATTTTTAATACCAAAATTCAATATCCATTTCATGGAACACTAAGTTATTGATCACTTGGGCTTTCTGACTGATGGCTATGTCATTCATTTAATATTCAAACTTTTTGAGCTTTTCAGATCTTCATAATATCTGATGAAAGTAAAAACAAGAAACCAAAAAATGAGGAAGTCTTTTCATGAACTGAGAGCCTCCCCTTGTAGAAGAAAGTCATTTTTAGACATCATTTTCTAAATGTTTACTCAAACCCCAATAATATACCAGAAAAATGACTTTTGAAGCATAATGAAGTTTTAGTTCCCTAGGCCTATGACAGTGTGTAGGTTTTGTTTTAATTACATCAATAAATTTTAAATAATTTACCTGACCTAAAACATTTTTTTAAGTTTTTAGAGACAGAGTCCTGCTATGTTGCCTAGGCTGGCCTCAAACTCCTGGGCTCAAGTGACCCTCCTACCTCAGTCTCCCAAGCAGCTGGGACTACAGGCTTTGGCTGTATAAAAACCATAAAAAAAAAGTATGGTTTTCCAACTTTTATTATTAATCATTTCATGCCCTGACTTTATTTTATTCTTCTAAACTCTCTTGAAGGCTGTGGCTGATTTGCAAAATGATTTAGAATCAATCTTGTAGCCAGGCGCAGTGGCTCAAGCCTGTAATCCCAGCACTTTGGGAGGCCGAGGCGGGTGGATCACGAGGTCAAGAGATCGAGACCATCCTGGTCAACAAGGTGAAACCCCGTCTCTACTAAAAATACAAAAAAATTAGCTGGGCATGGTTGTGTGTGCCTGTAATCCCAGCTACTCAGGAGGCTGAGACAGGAGAATTGCCTGAACCCTGGAGGCGGAGGTTGCAGTGAGCCGAGATCGAGCCATTGCACTCCAGCCTGGGTAACAAGAGCGAAACTCCGTCTCAAAAAAAAAAAAAAAAAACAATCAATCTTGTGTTTATTTCTGGACTTCTAATCGGCCTGGCTATGGAAGTGAGTGTTAACAGTGAATTATCCTCAGTATATTTTATTATTTTTGATGCTACTAAAAATGGAATTGCTTTCTTAATCTCATTTTTAGAATGTCCACTGCTAGTATATAGAAATACAGTTTATTTTCACATATTGATCTTGTAGCTTACAACCCGGCTGAACTCATTTATTGGTTTTAATACATTAGTAATTCCTTAGGATTTTCTATATGCAAGAACATGTCATCTGCTAATAGATACAATTTTACTTCCCTTTTCAATCTGGATGCTTTTCATTTCCCTTTTTTCCCTAAACTTCTGTGGCTAGAACATCTATTAATTGTGCAATGATGAATAGAAGTAGTAAGAGAAGATATTTTTGTTTAGTTTCTGATCTTAAGAAGAAAGCACTGATTCTTTCACCATTAAGTATGGTTTTAATTGTGGATTTTTTTAATTAAAAAAATTAAAATTCTAAAGATTAAAAAAATCATTTTGTAGAAACAGGGTCTTACTATATTGCTCAGGCTGGTCTTGAACCCCTGGGCTTCAACAATCCTCCTGCATTGACCTCCCTGAGTGCTGGGATTATAGGCGTGAGCCACCATGCCCAGCCCAGCTGTGGACTTTTTGTAGAGACTCTTTATCAGGTTGAGGACATTCATTTCTAATGAAATCCATTGAGTCTTCTTACTTTTAAGAGGGTTGAAGCTTGTCAAATGGTTTTTCTGTGTCTATTAAGATGACCATGTGTTTTTTGCTCTTTATTCTATTAATATGGTATATTACATTAATTTATTTTCAGATGTTAAGCCAACCTTGCATACCTGGGGTAAACCCTACTTCATCATGGTGCATAATCCTTTTTATATTGTGACAGTTCATTTGCAAGTTTTTTTGTTGAGGATTACTGCATTCTGATCCACATACAAAGCATAAAAATTTTTTGTGTATTTATATAGTGCCTCCCATTTTCAGAATGCTTTATGATTTCAGAGTGTGCTCTCATAAATTAAATTTGTTCCCAGAATAGTCAAGGATCATTAGAACAATTTACATGACCTTATCTGATCTCAGCTATCCATCTGGAAACCTAGCCATCATTCGAGTGCCCAATAAGGTAAATGGTTTCACTTGTATAGTCCAAGAAGATATGCCCACTAACCCTCCTATCCTGGCAATACTGGATTCCTCTGGCAGAAGTTCCTGCTATCATCCCAATGGAAATGTCTGGTAAGCTTCTAGCTTCTTTTCGTGGTTTTAGTTCTGAGAAAGTTTTTTTCTTTTTAAATATTAAGAATGGGTTTAATAAGATTAAGTTAGTGGCCTTTAGATGGTAATGTTCAACTCGGAGACATTTTTGGTTTACACCATTCCACATGCTTCTCAATGGAAAAATCCCAAGCAACTATAAAAATGAAGCTCATATTCTTTCTGTACATAATAAGAATATATGAACTATATAATTACAACATAGAAAAAACCTTGATAAATGATACGGTAACTCTAGGGATTTGTGATATTAACTGAGGCAGTCTCTAGAGTCTGTGCCCTGATGATATTTTTCCACTTCATCTATGGAAACAACTTGTCAATAGACAGTTGCTATACTATGTTGTTATTGTTTGAGATACACTCCTAACTAGTAAGCTTCCTAAAGCCACAACCAAGAACAATAACATACAAACAAAAGCTCCAGAGACATTAAGATCCGGTCCCAATGTAATCTACTATGTATATCCTCTGTGACTTCATATTGTTTCATTTAGCCTGACAAAGTGAAATTTTGGCTCTATGTTCAAATACAATCTAAACTTTTTGAACTTTTCAAAAAGAGGTCTTTTCCTTTAAATTATATACAGGTATGACAGTCTCATCTCGGGAAACTGCCAGTAATTGGTGATGTTTATATACTGCTAGTTCTTTTTTTTTTTTTTTTTTGAGACGGAGTTTTGCCCTTGTTACCCAGGCTGGAGTGCAATGGCGCGATCTCGGCTCACCGCAACCTCCGCCTCCTGGGCTCAGCCTATATACTGCTAGTTCTTGAGAAAGTTAGGATATTGAGCTATTTGTGTTTTTATCCACAGCAGTAGTCAATTCATTACCACCATGTATATTGGAAAATTTATACTTATCTTTCAGGATTCTATAGCAATTCTATGTTACCTTTGATGGACTGCTATATTAATTGTCACCAACACTCATTGGTTTCTAGACTGGAAACCAATTAAGTTCTCCCAGATTGGTTTTATGAAACCCCTGCCCTGTGAACTGAACTCCCAGGCACCCTGACATGGCTCCTTGATACTCTCATAGCCCTCTCTCTGCCTCTTGTATAGTGAGTCCATTTCCCTTACTGGACTAACATTCCTTGAAGGCACATCCTGAATCTTTGTTACTACATAGCTGTGTATCTGTACCTAGTGTAGACTCAAAGAATGTTTACTAAATAAACAAGGGACTGATTTATCCAGGTAATTTTAGCCAAATATTATTTTCAGCCACATTTCAAGATAAAACTATAAATCTTTCCTTCCCAGACACAGTAAGATAATCACCTTAGTTTCTCATTTGTGATTTTGTTAGATGACTACCACTGATCAATACTGAGGACATGAGACGTTAGTTGGGGGTCCTCATGGCCAAGTCATCTAGTTTTTAGAAAGTAATTTATTGTCAAATTAAGTCAACTTTCTGAGTACCCAGAACTGTATCTGTTGTCTCTCCTCAAGGTGGTGATGGTAAGAGGGTGTGAGAAAGAGATAACTGAATAGAATGGCACGGTGATTAGTGCTACCAGATCTCCGATGGCGATGGACTAATGTGATGTAGCAAAATGCAAGGCGTTCACAGTCTGAAGAGATGGGGTCGCCCAGTCTAGGGTCCACCTTTGCTCTGTCACAGACGTGTTCTCCACTGCAGTGATCAGAGAGGTGTTCCCTGAGCCTCTGCCCCCACATGCAGCCATGATGGGAGGACTCCTTGGAGGACACCTGGCTCGTAGTTGGGCATTGCCAGTAAACAGCTCTCCTGTACTGAGGTCAACACAGTCTTCCCCAGAATTTACAGCCACAGGTCTTTATTTTGGTGTGGTGAAAATCTAAGCACTGGCATTTCCTCCTCTTTCAGGATTAATCTACTCTTCTGTATCTCATTTTCTTCAGACTAAACCTTCCCTGCTCCCTCTTCATCCTTCCAGACTCTTTCATCCCAGTTTGGTGCTTTGGATCCATTTTAGTTTATCAGTGTGACTCATATTGGATACAGTACTTAGAGTTAGTATAGAATTTAGTCATAGTATTATCACTCCTAAGATTACATGAAGTTTCTACCACTCATGCTATTCGCTGGCATAAACCATTAGTCCCCTTAGCAAGTGACAGGGATAATTCTAGTATTTAATTACAGTGTTACTGTTTATGATTTTTAAATTTCCTTCCTGCCCAGGGTATACGTCAATATCTTGGGAGGTCAATATTCAGATCAAGCCGGCAACAGAATAAGGGCTTGGAATTGGTCAAGTTCCATCACTTCCACACCCTTTGTTTCATTTAAACCTGTCTTTCTGGCTTTGAACCGTTATATTGGAGTCCGAATCCTAGAACAAGACAAGATTTCTGTAACTTTTCTAGCAATGGGCCAACAGGCAAGAATCAGTGTTGGAACCAAAGTGGAGGTAGGTACATTTTAAAAAGCAGTCTAAAGCATTTAGAATAATAGAGTAAAATAACTTTTGTTAGTATTATTACTGATAGATTACATAGTGCATAATCTACTGTCCACTAGAATTTTGGAATTCAATGGAAAAACATGCAGTGAAAGCTTCATGTGGAATTGAGGCAGCCTTACTGTTTCTTACTCTGAAATTCCTTTTAGTTCAGACTTAGATTCAAGTAACACTTATTGAGTGTTTGCTTTGTGCCTGAGTAGTGCTACTTTGGGGGTTTTGTTTAAAGATTTCGTTTTGTGTTTGTTTTTCTCCCTGCCATGGTAGAAAGCCTTGGCCTGGGTCAGGAGACTTGAGTTTGAATCATTTTCAAGACCAAACATAAGCCTCGTCTCCTTGGAGACACTTCCCAGATCTCCTAGTCCTTCATCCAGTCAGCCTCAACCACATCCTTCTCTGGGTTTTCTGTGTACTTGCCTCCATCCCTGTGCTTGTTGAACAGTGCTGCCTTTCCTACTGATGGCAAGCTCCTGAGAGAAAGAATCTCTATCCTACTGACTTCTCTCCCAAAGCACAGCCCTGAGTACATTCTCAGTGACCATAATGCACGTTAAGAACATGGAATTCAGGTTGCAGATTCTCTGTAGTTTCACACTTCAGCTCTGCCACTTGCCTGACTGAACTTGAACTTCAGTTCCTTATCTATAAAATGGAATAATGATTCTGACCTTACAGATTGCTGTGAAGATCTGATGAGAGTGCAAAGTATTAAGGGTGGTGCTTGGCACTAAATAAAATAATATAGATGTGTAGATGGATATAAATAGAGGTTGATGTATAGCTATATACATAAATAACACATATCATGTGTAACTTCAAACAAGGCCCTTAAACCTTGAGGACCTTTGTTTCATTGATTTTCTTTTTTTGTTGTTTTTTTTCAGACGGACTCTTGCTCTGTCACCCGGGCTGGAGTGCCGTGGCGTAATCTTGGCTCACTGTAACCTCTGCCTCCCGGGTTCAAGGAATTCTTTCAGCCTCAGCTTCCCAAGTAGCTGGGACAACAGGCACCTGCCACTACACCTGGCTAATTTTTGTATTTTTAGTAGAGATGGGGTTTCACCATGTTGGCCAGACTGGTCTTGAACTGTTGACCTCAGTGATCCACCTGCCTCAACCTCCCAAAGTGCTGGGATTATAGGTGTGAACCACCATGCCCAGCCTGTTTCATCTATTATTTATTATTTATTTATTTTGAGATGGAGTCTCAGTGGCAAATAGACACAGATGATCTCTTCTCCTGGAATCATTTTTTCCCTTGCTTCCAAGAGACTACTCTCCCCTGATTTTCCTTGTACCTCACAGGTGGTTTCTTCTCATTTTTCTGGCCTGATTACTCTTCACCTCCTCTTTTTCTAATATTGGAGGAACCCAGAGCTTGTCCTCGGGCTGACTTTTCTATATACTCTCTCCCGAGATGATCTCATTGAGTCCCACATTCTTAAATATCATCTACATGCTGATAGCCCTTTAATTTGTATCTCCAGGTAGATCTCATATGAACCCCAAACTTGCAAGTCTCTGATTCCAATTCAGTATATCCATTTGGATTTCTAAGAAGGCATTAAAAATTTAACAAGGCCAGGCACGGTGGCTCATGCCTGTAATCCCAACAATTTGGGAGGCCATGGCGACAGCATTAATTGAGCCCAGGAGTTTGACACCAGCTTGGGCAACACAGGGAGAAATTTTTCTTATTAGAGCCATCATTGACTTAATCTGTAAAATGTTTTCTGTCATTGTGTGAGATTTGGGTTTAAAGATTCTGGCCTATTCTTTGTTCTTTGTCCATCCTCACATGCTTTCCTTCCCCGATTCCTTTCTTTCTATGGAAGGAGGAGTGAAATGCAGAAATGAAACTGTAAGTTTCTGCATCTTTTGCAGGTAAGTGGTCACTCAGCTTGCAGAGGTTCTGCCTGCATTTGACCTGCCCCACAGAGGCTAAATGCCCCTCCTAGGCTGGCCCTGACGCTGTAGACTGAAAACACCTCGGGCGAGACTGTCCTAGCAAATCCATTCAGGTTTCTGCAGCTACAAGGAGACACCACCAGCTTTGAATCATCAAAAGCTGTGAGGGAGTGCAGAGAGCAGAGGCCAAAGAGGGGTCATGGAGAGGTTAATTTGGAAAGACCTCCTGGAGGTAGGGCACATTTAGCAGCAGTAAAGAGAGTTGTAGTTTTTCCCAGTCCTAATTTCTCTTTGGAAAACTGAGCTCCTCAGTGCCTTCCTGGCGAGCACCCAGCCTTCAGACCGGTCCTCTTCCTACCTCCCGCACTGGGCACTTTCCAGGCAAGGGACTGTGTCTGAGGCATCTTGTGATCCCCTCAGTAGGTGCTGGTTAATTTACTTGAATAAATTATAAGCTTTCGAAGGTATCAAGATTCCATTTGGTATCTCAAGTCTTCACAGCGTTTCAGCTCTTTTCTCATTTAGATAAGAATAAGACCACTACCCCTGCTTACAGATGAATTAGAGTGGACCCTCATCAGGGAATCCAACCCTACATTAGTGCCACGGCTCGGCTCCTCCCATGGCCCCAGTTCCACTCTTGGACTGACTTTCCTTCTCTTTCTCTTTGCTGAAAAGCTACCAAACCCTGAGGAGATTCCAATCCTCCGATATGCGAGTGGAGATGACCTTCTTCTGCTGGCCAGTTTAATAAAGATCCGTCGCCTGTTTCACAAACTGGAAGGATGTGTGAATTTTCCCTCAAGCCAGGTTTGGGAAAAATTAAAGCAACCCTCCTACCTTTCTTCACTTTCTCTAAAACTAATTGCCCTCTGTCACAGTTCTGGTATAAAGCAAGATATAATGAAGACAATAGCAAATATAATAAATGAAGAAATTTAATTAAGAATGATGATGCTTTCATTTGTTTTGGTGAGTTTTTTTGGGTGGAAGGATCAGGAGTTTGCTGGCTGATACTGAGTGTGGGTGGAAGGATCGGGAGTGTGATGGCTAATATTGAGTGTCAATTTGATTGGATTGAAGGATGCAAAGTATTGTTCTGGGTGTATCTGTGAGGGTGTTGCCAAAGGAGATTAACATTTGAGTCAGTGGACTAGGAGAGGCAGACCCACCCTCAACCTGGGTGGGCACCATCTAATCAGCTGCCAGCACAACTAGGATAAACCATGCAGAAGGTAGAACGAGCAGACTTGCTGAGTCTTCCAGTTTTCAACTTTCTCCTGTTCTGGATGCTTCCTGCCCTCAAACATCTAACTCAAAATTCTTCAGCTTTCGGACTCTTGGACCTGTACCAGTGGTTTGCCAGGGGCTCTCAGGACTTCAGTCACAGACCTAAGGCCGCACTGTCGGCTTCCCTACTTTTGAAGTTTTGGGACTCAGATTGTCTTCCTTGCTCCTCAGCTTGCCAAAGGCCTAGTTTGAGACTTTACCTTGTGATTGTGTGAGTCAATACTCCTTAATAAGCTCCCCTTCATATATACATCTATCCTATTAGCTCTGTCCTTCTAGAGAACCCTGACTAATACAGGGCGGATTCAAAAAAAGTATACAAAATGACCAAAATACCAAGGAATATGCTATACTATCAATTTAGAACACATTCTGAGCATTACTAGTTTACATTCTTTTTTTTTTTTAGAGATGGGGTCTCACTGTTGAAGCAACATCATTTTCTGGGGTGATACCCAAGTTTCGTTGCCTCATGCCAGGAAAATTAACCACACAGACAAAAACGAGTGAATTTAAAAGCAGAGGTTTAGGCTGGGCGCAGTGGCTCACACCTGTAATCCCAGCACTTTGGGAAGCTGAGGTGGGCGGATCACAAGGTCAGGAGTTCAAGTCCACTCTGGCCAATATGGTAAAACCCCATCTCTACTAAAAATACAAAAATTAGCCAGGGGTGATGGCGCATGCCTGTAGTCCCAGCTACTTGAGACACCGAGGCAGGAGACTCACTTAAACCCAGGAGGTGGAGGTTGCAGTGAGCCAAGATTGGGCCACTGCACTCCAGCCTGGACAACAGAGCGAGACTCTGTCTCAAAAAAAAAAAAGGGCAGAGGTTTAATAGGCAAAAGAAAGAGAAACATGAGTGGAGAAGCCCGAATGGGACTTTTGGCACCAGATTTTATAGACAGGCTTGAGGAAGCGGTGTGTGATTTACACAGGGCCCATCGATTGGTTGGATCAGGTGTGACCTTTACATAATGCACAGGGAAACTGGCTGCCCCACTCTAGTGTCATTATGTAAATGGGGTCTTTGCCTGGCTGCTTCTTACTGTACACGTGGCTGGCATAGAGAAGGGAAGATGGAGCCACCATTTTGAACGTGCCTAGTCCCAGGGAGCCTTTTCCTATTGGCACAGCTACCAGCATTCACCCATGCAAGCTTCCAGTTTGCTTGTCTATGTTTGCAGCTCAATTTTACAGGCCTCTCTTTTTTAGAAAAAGAAGTGTTTTGGGGGCTGCTTTTCATTAAAAGGAAAACCTTACAGGATGTCATTACCCTCATTATTTGCCTAAGTAATTCCTTTTTAACTCCTATATCACTGTGTTGCCCAGGCTGGTCTTGAACTCCTGGGTGCAAGCAATCCTCCTAACATGGCCTCCCAAAGTGCTGAGATTACAGATGAGCCACTGCACCCAGCCTAATAACACAAGAATGCCTTTTATCATTATCATTATTATTATTATTTTGAGACAGGGATTTGCTGTGGCACCCAGACTGGAGTGCAGTGGCTCAATCTCAGCCCACTGCAGCTTTGACCTCCTGAGCTCAAGTGGTCTTACCACCACAGCCAGTTCAATGATAGGGTTGCTTCAGAACAGAAAGCAAAGCTGAGAGCTGGAGGTGGAGGACCCTCAAGACATAGAAGGGTGCCAGAACTCTGCACTTCCTGAGACTTACTTCTCAACTCTCTATTCTTTGGGAGAGGGTGAAACATAGTTTCAGGGGACACGCCTTACACTGAATTCCAAATTTGGTGCTAGTGTATAGTAAGAGGAATTAGGCCTACCCACCATTCAAGACTTAGTGTCAAACTATATAGTTTCCCTGCTAAGAGCTACCCGGGGAAATACAAGAGGGAATGGAGAGGAAAGGAGTGCGTGGAAGAACAGAATATTCCAGGGAGGCTGAGCTACTAGGAGATGGGGACCTAGTTCTTGCTGTTAATCCATTAACTTCTCTTTCTTTTCCTGATTTTAGTTAGCCTTCTTTCTAGGAATTTTGTTAATACTGAGGATTTCGTTTTATTTTTTATTTTCACTCATGCCATTTCCCACTGCTATCTTTGTGAAAAAGAGCTTCCTAGATTCACATCTTGATCTACATTAAAGTCCTTCTCTTTTTTTTCATTTTTGCCTTTAGCCCTTTCCTTTTCATTGATGAGTAAACATTTAGTTTCTATCAAGTGAGATAGATAGTAGCATAATTGAGCTAAAATGTATCAGAATAGCGCTAAAAATTTGCTTATAAGGACACATCCCAACAAAGCCCTAACTGAAATCTGTTTTGGTACATCATTAAAAACCACTTTTGGGGTGCTGAGCCCATAGTAGATACTGAACAAGGCCTTGATTGGCTGAGATTAGCAGGATAATGGGACAGTGTCTTTCATCATGTTGCTTCATGTCTAATGCCAGAATGTTATTTGAATCTTTTTTTTTTTTAAAGAGGGGGGGTTTCACCATGTTCGCCAAGCTAGTCTCAAACTGCTGGCCTCAAGTGATCCACCCATCTTGACCTCCCAAAGTGTTGAGATTACAGGCGTGAGCCACCGCGCCTGGCCTATTTGAATTATATTTACTGTACCAAATGATAATTTATGACATGTAATAAGAGTGTGAAAGTAAAATAAAAAATATCAGGACTCCAAACTCATTATGCCAAAGGAAAAAGTCAAGCTTGCGAACTAAGTCACACAAAATTCCTATTTTGTTCTTAATTAGATAGCTACAAAGAGAAGAGGCTACATACTACTCTCAAAATTTACTCAAAAGGAAATTCTTCTTTCTTTTTTTTTTTTTTTGGATGGAGTCTTGCTCTGTCCCCCAGGCTGGAGTGCAATAGCACAATCTCAGCTCACTGCAACCTCCACCTCCCAGGTTCAAGTGATTCTCCTGCCTCAGCCTCCCAAGTAGCTGGGACTACAGGCACCTGCCACCATGCCTGGATAATTTTTGTATTTTTAGTAGAGATGGGGATTTCACCATGTTGGCCAGGCTGGTCTCAAACTCCTGATCTCAGGTGATGTGCCCGCCTTGGCTTCCCAAAGTGCTGGGATTATAGGTGTGAGCCACTGTGTCCAGCCAAAAAAATAATAAAGCAAAGCTTTTGGGGTCTATGTTTTTTTTTTTTTTTTTTTTTTTTTTTTTTTTTTTTTGAGACGGAGTTTCACTCTTGTTACCCAGGCTGGAGTGCAATGGCGTGATCTCAGCTCACCGCAACCTCTGCCTCCTGGGTTCAGGCAATTCTCCTGCCTCAGCCTCCCGAGTAGCTGGGATTACAGGCACGCACCACCATGCCCAGCTAATTTTTTGTATTTTTAGTAGAGATGGGGTTTCACCGTGTTGACCAGGATGGTCTCGATCTCTTGACCTCGTGATCCACCCACCTCGGCCTCCCAAAGCACCGGGATTACAGGCTTGAGCCACCGCGCCCGGCCCCTATGTTATTTTAATAGATGTATTTAAATAAAATTAATAAGAGTTGGAAGGCCAATAACATTCAGAAGCAAACATTATAAGAAAATCACTAGATCATCTATATTACACCTTGCGGTGTGACCCAGCATTAGACAATGCACAGAGAAGTCCAGGGATCCACTTTTCACATACGTGCTCTATAGGACTGGCACTGGGAAATGAAAACCACAGTGTAGCATCCATCCAGACTCTTCAGAGATGATGCCCAATTGTGTCATTTTCAAAATAACACAGAGGCTTCCCTCTGTTAAACTATTAAGCAAAGGGGCAACATGCTGGAAACATACTCAACCCCTCGATCTCTTGTTATGAATGCATATTAGCACCTGACAAATACTGAATGAATAAATGAATGAACAAGTGATGTGAAACTCTACAAAAGATACACATGTCCATGGAGAAAAATTCTGAGTGTCTCTTTGCTGTTCTATTCAGTGCTTGACAGAGTGGGTTGAAAATAGATTAAAATTGATTCATACCAAAGCCTAGTTCCCACTTCAATCCTTTTATGAAAAACCCGGCTTTCTCTGCAGTTGAGCTGCTACTGGTAACAAATTTCTCAGAAACCTGGCTAGCACTGGCACCCTACACATAAACAGAATGTGTTAATAAAACATTTTAATTCCAGCTCTAAAGTTTACTCCATCCATTCATTTCTTCATCTGTTTAATAAACATTTATTCATTGCTTATTTTGTACCAAGTACTGGTGATATAAAGTTAGAAATCATAGTTCCCTGTCCTTAGGGAAAACAAGACACAAAAAGTGGCCACAAGAAAACAACGAGGTAAGCTCAGTAACAAAAAGAAGTACAGAGAGCACCAAAAGGAGCGCATATGTCTCAGCTCAGGAACTAGATGTCATGTAGCGGTGGAGGAAGGAGCAAAGAAGGCAGAGGAATCAAATGACACATCTCGGAATGATCATAGAATTTTTTCCAGAAACAACAAATAATGCTTGAGTATGCTGACTGGAAGTCAGAATCACAGATGACTCAAATGATGACCAGGAAGTCACAAATACCCAGGTAAGTATATGCTCAACCCCTTGAGGACTTGCCCACACCATCAGGTTAGCAAGAAAGGGCCAGAGATGATTCAGGAAAATCCTGTCCTATAAAAGGAAGGAGTCACAGATTTCATCTCAGGCACTGAGGGTAGAAGGACGTGGCCTGACTTTAAGCCA